CATGCAGGCGCCTGAGCACACTGGGTGGGCGGAGAGCGTGCCGTCCCTGTGGGCGCTCGGCTTCACTAGTCTCACTCTGCACCTCGGGGATCCCCAGCTGTGCCTGCCCCAAGGGGCCCTGCCGACCAGGAGACTGGGCTCCTGAACAAGGACGGAGGAGCCTCAGTTTCCCTGTCTGAGCTTCGAGAATGTCCAGGGAAGGGAGCCTGAGTCCTGACCATGTGGGGCATTGGTGGGACTGGGGCCAGGACAGTCTGCTACTCAGTGCCCGCGGGGAAGCTGGGCCCCACTCCTGCCCACAGAGCCTGGTGGGGTGGCTGGCACAGGTGCACTTGGGGGCCCCCAGAGAGAGCTATTCAGTCTGTGGCCACAGGAAGCGGCACAAACACGGTGTGGTGAGTGCATCTGTGAGCTTCTGGGGCTGTGTGGCTGGCACTCACACTGGTCCCTGGGCCATGGCCCCACATGGAGGTGTGGGCAGGGTTGGGAGGGTTGGGCCCCCCTTGGGCTTCGAAGCACTGGTGTCTTTGGCATCCTTAAGTCCAGGTGATCCTCCGTGGATGTCCATAACTCAGTGACCTCCCTAGAGGCCCTTTCCAGATCAGGCCACACCCTTGGGTTCCGGGTGTGTGGTGCAGATGTGCTCTTGGGGCCCTCACGGAGCCCCACGTTCCCATGACAGGCACTTGGAACTGTGCCCGAAGCTTTTACTCTTGGACTCTGAGGAGGGGCAGTGCTCCGGCCCAAGTCTTGCCGGGAGCTCAGGGGCCGCCTCCCACTCTAGGTACCCTGGGTGTCGGTATGGGGGTCACATGGGGGTCCAGCTACCCCCAGCATTTAGGAGCAGGGTATAGCACCCCCCCCCACCGGGAGAAGCCTGTGCTGCTTTGTGTCCAGTAGGGCCCCGGCCAGCCTTTCCACACAGCACCCTGTGGAGGCCTGTGCCCTGTGCCCTGTGCCCTGTGCCCTGTGCCCTGTGCCCTGTGCCCTGTGCCCTCCGCCCTCCGCCCTCCGCCCTCTGCCCTCCGCCCTCCGCCCTCCGCCCTCCGCCCTGGCTGGGCAGGCAGCGCTCAGCTGTGGGCTTCAATTTCAGGAGAGGTGGGGGTTGGCTCAGCACCTAAAAGGCCCAGGGGCAGCTGAGGCAGCACGTGCTGGTCTCAGTTCCTGGGGTGGGAACCTGGGGTGGAACCCGTGGCAACCCTGGGGTCCCCTGGATGGGAGGGGGTCGTGCAGAGGGGCCAGGCCCTGCCCAGGATGTGCACACTATAGGTCCTGGCTTGGGGCCTGGCAAGGGCAGCTTGTGCCTGAGGGCTTAGCTGGGCTCTGGCGAGGGTGGATGCGGGGCTGAGGCGATGCGGCGGAAGTCTGCGTGCGTGGTGGGGGCTCTCCCTGGGGAGTGGGCGCCTCAGGCCTAGAGTTAGGGTTAGAGTCTGGCTGCCCTGCTGAGGGGCTTGGCCTTGTAGGTAGCCTGCACCTCACACAGCCTGTCCTGTCACCGTCCCGGGCGGCTGGGCCAGTGTCTGGGCTCCGCATTGCGGATCAGATTCTCCAAATAGCCAGCATCACACTGTCCCCACGCAGCCCACGTGGCCCCAGGGAGCCAGCACTGCCGCCTCCACACCCACATGGCAGCCAGGGCTCAGGGAAAGTGGGTCAGTGCCTGCCGGACCATCCCTGGGGGCTGGGCCTCAGAGGGGCTGCTCAGGATGAGGGCTGCCAGGCTCCAGAGGCATGGCGGCCAGTGGGTGGGCACAGGGCGCTCTGGCGCACAGGGGCATCAGCTTGAAGTAGCCTCGGCTGACTCTGCACCATGGGGGACAGCAGCTGTCAGCTGCCCAGGCTGGGCATCAGGCACACTGGCCGCCTTCCTCAAACTGTGAGGAAGCTCCTGGCCACTCACCAGGTCCAAGGGCTCCTTTGCCACCTAGCCCAGTGCCCACCCCTGAGCTGTGAGAGGTCCGCTCCACGCCCTACGCCGTGCAATCGCTACCCACAAGGCTGTGTGGGAGGGCAGCCTAGTCCCGCGCGAGCTGTGTTCAGCACCACGGACAGCGGCCCCCCAGCTCTCCTCAATCCATGTACGCGGTCCTGGGGTGGGCCTGTCCATCTCCACATGCTCCTGAGGGCAGGCAAGGTGGGGAGGCCTATGGGATGACCACTCACTGGCCCCAGGCAGGAGGTCAGGGCCTGGACTGGCACCTTGTGGGGGTGCACAGGTCCTGGCTGTGTAGGGTGGTTCTGGCAGGAATGAAGACCCAAGATGACCCCTCAGCAAGGTTGGAGGTCCCTCGACCCTCCTAGCCTGCGGCAGATGGGCCTTGACTGCGCGAGGGGTGCAGCACAGGAGGCTTGCTGCCTTCGCAGTCAGAGGGGCCCCTTCCTGGCAGTGGTGCCAGGAGCTCTCTAGGGCCCAGGACAGGAATCAGGCGGGAACTGCTCCCAGCGGGGCTCCCTGCCAGGTGTGATGCCGGTCAGCCAGGGTCAGCTCAGGTGGTAGGTGACCCAGATGCCCTAGAGGAGGCTGTGGTGGGCCAGTCACGGAGCCCCTGCCCCTGGTCACTGAGTCCCATGGGACATGGGGTCACCAGTAGCCCCTAGCTCCACACCAGCACTGACATCTGACCCAGATCCAGAGCTGTGGCCCACCCCATGGCAGGTGAGGGCAGTGAGGCAGTGCCACAATCGGGATGGCAGGGACCTAGGGGCCCTGGGGAACAGGGCCTGGCCACGTTGAGCTGTCCACTGGGCTTGGGGCCCTGGGCTCTGAGGTCCCAGTAGGGCCTTTTGGAAGGACAGAGCTGTGGAGCCCGGCACCCTCCCTGCAGTGGGGCAGGCTGCAGCCGCCTGTGTGCCCATGCCCCAGCAGAAGCACACAGTTGGTGCCTGGGCCCTGCCCTGGCAAGGGCTGCAATTATCTGTGACATGGTATACTTTTCTCTTGATTCCAGGCTGTGTTTGTGTAAAGATGATAATTAGAGATAAACTCACAATTGGAAAATGAGCCCCAGCGTGTCAGAAGGTGGGTAATTAGGGTGATCCTCCCCCTAGAAGCTAAGTCCCGCAGCCCAGAAGCCCGGCCAGGCAGGAGGGCTCAGAACTGTGCAGCACACGAGCACCAAGCCCCAGGGGACCGCACGGCCATGGGACAAGAAGACACAGGCTGAGCTGCTGCCGGGACCCAGGAGGCTTTACCAAGGAGTGCACCTGCCTTTGTGGCTTCGTGGGGTGTGTGGGGGTGTTCAGCACCGTCATGCGGAATGGACAGGTGAAAGGAGGAAGAGGCTGGGAGGGAGCAGCCCAAATCCCAGGGCTCGGCCAGGACTTCCCTGAGCCATGGGAAGCCTGCTTGTCCGGGTGGAGGTGTGGGGCCCCGGGCTGGCCCTCTGTGCTGTCCCCAGTAGAGAGCTGACTGCCCCCACCCGCAGGGCCTCCTGGGGAAGGTGTGGGCTTCACACAGGGTGCAGCCTGTGATGGTGCTCAGCCTGGAGCCCCTCAGCAGATGTGCAGAGCAGCGTGCCTGCAGTGTCTCACCCCTGGGTTGGACGTGTCCATGTGCATGTGTGTGTACATGAGCGTGTGCGCATGCCCCTGCTGTGGGTGTGCGTGTGCGAAGTCCAGCATCCTGTGGTCCTTGAGTTGCTGGGTGGCTGCCTGGTGCCCAGGCCCCTCACTGTGAAGCTTCCTGATCCTGCTCAGGGCTGGACAAAGGCCATGTCCACCTGCCCCAGGGTGTGGCGGGATGCCGGTCCCAGCCTTGGCCTCGCCCTAGTCCCATGCGGGACAGACGCTAGCTCTTTGTCTGTGGGGCCTGACGGTCACACCTGAGGGGACAGTGTTTCAGCCGGCCACCGTGGCCTCCTCTGCCACCCTTCTGGCCCTGCCTGTGGCTGCACCCTCCGGGCTGGGTCTGGTGGGTTTGTCAAAGCCGTCCTCCTGTTGCTTGTCATAGCGGTTTCCTGCTTTTTCAAGCTTTGTTTGGGGATGTTTTTGCTGGACAGAGGTTGTGCTCAGTGAGCCCTGAACCAGCACAGTGGCAGCGGGTCCGCAGAGCTCGCGGTGTGAAGTGGGTGGCGGTGCTGGGTTGTGTGTTTCCTGTTGGTTTCCTCCCATCCTCCTGCTGCGAGCTCTGTGCTCTCCGACAGGGTGGGAATCACAGGCCTTGCATATATCAAAGGCAGCAGAGTGAGACGGCTTCCTCAGGCCTGGCTGCTCTGGTACTGGGGCCGGGGAGGGCGCTCTGCTGGTGACCTGGCCACGTGGGTGCTGGCACAAGGCAAGCTGGGGAGGTGACAGGAGCTCTTGGGGAGCCGTGGGAGCTGCTGCCCAGCGGAAGCGGAGCTGGGCCATGGTCTCCAGCCTCAGGTCCAGGATTGCGTCACCGTGCTCCACAGGGTCCAGGCACCGACCGGCAGGACATGGGCTGACGCTGAGGCAGGGACCTACAGCAGTGCAGGACGTGAGCACCAGACAAAGGGCAGGCTGGAGTGCATTTTTGAGGCATGTCACAAGTAAAAGATTAATTTCCCATGCAAGACAAAAGGCTCTTGCAAACCGATAAGGGAACCCAAGAGTGTGTACCACGTGTCCGGACACACGCAGGAGGCCAACCCTGGAAAGGGGCTGCATTCTGGTCCCAGTCCTGGAACCCGGGTGGCTTTCTGAGTGGAAAGTGATCCTACAGAGAAGCGTAGACGTGCCAGGCAGGACCGCCCGCTCAGACAGTGCCCTGGGGTGGGGCAGGGGGGGCGCCGAGGCCACAGAGGAGGCCAGGCCTAGCTGTGGCTGTGCTGCCACAGGGAGAGTGGTCAGTTTGACCTGTGCTTGGGAGCCAGGGTGTGCCAGCGTCGAACAGGCCGCGCAGAGCACCCCATCCTTTGGCGCTGGAGGTGGGGCATGACCACAGCGCCTGTGGTGGAGCCACCCCGCCTGTCCCAGGGCCGGCAGGGTCCAGGGCTGGCAAGGAGGGATGGCTCTGTGAGGTGCAGGGCCTGGCCTGTGGGGAGGGACTCTGGTGTCCTGGGAGAGGGACGACGAGGCCCCAGCTCAAGGCAGGCTGTGATGGGGCCGTGTGGCATCCCCGCGCGGGGCTGGTCAGAAGCAGGAACTCCTGGCGGAGGGCAGCACAGGGGCCCCGCTGGTCCTGGGGCTGAGCTGGGCTGCTCTCCTGCAGGCCTCGTGAAGCTGGGTGTCCACTGTGTCACTTGTCAGAAAGTTGCCATCAAGATCGTCAACCGCGAGAAGCTCAGCGAGTCCGTGCTGATGAAGGTGGGGACCGTGGGGCGGCGGCTTCTGGAGGGGGGCCAGGGCTGCGGCAGCTGTGGAGTGGGGGCGCTGTGGGCCACCACAGAGGGAAAGGCATGGCCTGTGAGAGACACGAGCTTGTGCCCACCGTGGACAGGGTGGCCCCCACCTTTGCCAGTCCTGGGTGGGGAGGGCAGGGGTTGTGACAGGGGCAGAGGCCTGGGCATCTTGGGTCTAGGGTCCCTGCCTCTCTGTGGGGGCACCACGAGCCTGGGGAAGGATGCATGCTCCTGCCTGCATCTCACAGTGTGTGCACTCCTGTAGGTGCAGTCCTGTAGGTCTGCAGCCTGGTGCTGTGGTGGCATTCCCAGGCCTCCTATGTGGGGCCAGGCTGCATAGCCAATGTTCCCAGCATCCCCATCTCCCCAGCCTGGGAACACAGTGTCTGACCCTGAGTGGACAGGCCGTGGGGCCGTGGGGCAGGTGGGGCTGCTGGTGGCAGCCCCTGATGCATCTCTCTGGCAGGTGGAGCGGGAGATTGCCATCCTGAAGCTCATCGAACACCCGCACGTCCTGAAGTTGCATGACGTCTATGAAAACAAAAAATATTTGTAGGTATTGCTGGGCTGGAGAGCTGGGGGGCAGGCTGGGCACAGCTGAGGCTAGGGCAGTGGGTGGGTACATCCGAGGGAGGCCACTGCCTGGAGATCTCAGCTCTACCAGCAGAGGGCCGTGAGGGTGCAGGGCCCACCCTGGGCCTGTCTGGAGGGGAGATGGGGTGGGAGCCCCCTCCATGTGCGAGCCTCTGGGGGCAGGGGTGGGCAGAGCCTTAGGCCCTGTGACCTCCCCGTGGGGGCTGCATGGCCCCTGTTCCCCTGGCCCATGCCTACCACTGGGCTCCCTCACAGCCTCGGTCCCTGGGGTCACTGGCTGCTGTCACCAGCTCCTGGCTCAGGCCAACTTCTGTCCAGTGTGGCTGAGCACATAGTTCTGCCCCGGCAGCCTCATCCCATGGGGCCCCATTGCCCACTGCTGTGTGGCCCCAGAACTGGCCTCAGCGAGTGCATCTGGGTGGGATAGAGTGTCACTTGTGGGGTCACTGAGGCTGGGGATAGGGCGAGGCATGTGGGGTGTGTGTGCCTCTTACCTGCAGGAGAGTCTGTGTGGGGAGTGTCCAGAGCAGCCTTGGGGTCCCCGGCCCCACACTGCCACCCGCCTTGAATGCCCTGTTGTCTCTGGGTGCCAGGCTGTTGTGGGCTGCAGAGGAGGGCCGAGGTGGTAGGGTCAGCCCCTGGCCTTGGTCTCTTGTCCGTCACCCTGGGGGCACACACGAAGAAAGCTGACCAAGGAAATGCATGGGCAGCCCTGGAGCTGTGGAGCGCTGGGGCGGTGGGCAGTGCAGGGCCTTGAAGCACAGGCTGCCAGCGCTGTCCGGGTGGAGTGAAGGCCCAGCCCTCTTCACTCCACAGCCGGAGGGCGGGGGACAGGCTGGTCCCAGGAGGCCTCTGTCCCGAGGGGCTGGCACTGCATGGTCACTGCGGCTGAAGCCCAGGCTGCAGCCTGCTCCGGGGGCACTGACGCCCTGGCTCTGCAGGTACTTGGTGCTAGAGCACGTCTCTGGGGGGGAGCTGTTTGACTACCTGGTGAAGAAGGGGCGGCTGACGCCCAAGGAGGCCCGCAAGTTCTTCCGGCAGATCATCTCAGCGCTGGACTTCTGCCACAGCCACTCCATCTGGTACGGGCACGACCTCATCTGTGTGACACTCGGCCCCAGCTTCTTCCCCATGCATGGGGGAGCCCAGGTGGCCGGGCAGAAGATAGCAGGAACCCTATGTCCCCCCAGGCCAGGAGGGACTTGATTGGCTATCTATGACGTCACCAGCCTAGGCTGCCATTGGTCGGCTGCTTTGTCGGCGCTGGGTGGCGGGCAGCAGCCTCCGTCAAAGGCTGGGGTGGGGAGGGGATAGCTGGTCAGCCTCACCACCCTCTCCCCAGCCACAGGGACCTGAAGCCAGAGAACCTGCTGCTGGATGAGAAGAACAACATCCGCATCGCAGACTTCGGCATGGCATCCCTGCAGGTCGGCGACAGCCTGCTGGAGACCAGCTGCGGGTGTGTGGCGCCCCCGCCTGGCCGCTGCCCTGCACAGCCCCAAGGGCCCGGGCGTGCACCGATCCAGCCCTGTCCCCAGCCCCTGGCCTGGCTGAGGGCAGAGGACTCCAGCCCCATCCTAGCACCAGGGCCCGTGTAGGCCGAGAAGACCCTCACCGTCCCTGTGCTGCCTCCAGCCGGAGCGCAGCTGCAGTGCCTGCTCCCCCAGCGGGGTGTGCATGAGCCCCTGCCTGGCTCCAGTGCCTCCTCAGCCAGGGCCTGGTGCCCCTCCTAGGGCTGGATGGAGGGGCAGCCCCGACTGCGGCGACCCGAAGGAGCACCCAGGGAACTGGAGGTGTAGGGGCTTGGCCAAAGCCGCTGTGCCCCTCCCACGGTGTGCAGGGAGGCTGGGTCTGGAGGAAGGGCCTGACTTCCTGTCCCCTGACCCATGCCTTTGCCCCCAGGTCCCCCCACTACGCGTGCCCAGAAGTGATCCGGGTAAGTAGGCGCTGGGGCGCTGTGTGGGGGTCACCCTGTCAGGCTGGACCTGAGTGTTGCTCCCAGGACCCTCAAGCCCCGACCCGGGCCGGGCGGCCTTCCAGGCCAACACCTGCCCTGGCATTGCCCGCAGGGGGAGAAGTACGATGGGCGCAAGGCGGATGTGTGGAGCTGCGGCGTGATCCTGTTTGCCCTGCTGGTGGTGAGTCCCCCGCAGCCCCGCGGCCCCTCTGGCTGTTCTTCCCCTGCCTGCATCTTGTCCCCGTCTGCCGCCCCCACCCCCGCCCCATCCCCCTGCCCTCTTGATGCCGCCCGCCTGCCCGCAGGGGGCGCTGCCTTTCGATGACGACAACCTGCGGCAGCTGCTGGAGAAGGTCAAGCGGGGCGTGTTCCACATGCCACACTTCATCCCGCCGGACTGCCAGAGCCTGCTTCGGGGCATGATTGAGGTGGACGCGGCCCGGCGCCTCACGGTGTGTCCCTTCCTGACGCCAGCTCCTAGGCTGTCTCTTCCACAGACAGCCCTGCTGCCCGTGGCTCTCCCGTCTCAGAGTCGCCTGGGGGCACTGCTCGCTGTGCATGGGAGCCCTGGGGTGTGCTGGGGGTTATGGCGTGCGAGGAATGTATGTGCCGAGTGTGTGCTGGATGTGCAGGCACTGTCAGGAGTTAGGTGTGCCACTGTGTGTGCGTGGGTGGGAGTGTTGCCAGGGTGCATGTGTACAGGTGTGGGCTGTGCCAGGGAGCGTGCACAAGTGTGCGTGTGCAAGGGTGTATGAGGAAGGTGTTACGAGTGTGTGCTAAGACCTGTGTGTCCAGGCGTGTGTGTGCCAGGGTGTGTGCACTGGTGTGCATAGATGTGCGCGTGCAAGCGTGTGCACGGGAGCAGGCGTGTGCCAAAGCATTTGGCCCAGGAGTGTGTGTGCCCATGCTGTGCACAGTGCATGCTGTGTGCCTGTGAGTGGTCTGGGGGCTCCCCTGGCACACCCTTGTGAGCAGGGTGCAGGCTGGCACCCAGGGAAGGCCCAGGTGGGTGGAGAGGGCCCCGGGGGACTGCCCAGGCCCTCGCCTGCACTGCACTCGGCCCCTCCGGCCCCGGATGCCTGGCCTCAGCTCCTCTGGTGCCTGCTGGAGGGCCCAGCGCAGGCCGCTCGGGCTCCGGGGACTGCACTCCTGCCTCTCCCGCTCACTGGCACTGCCTGGACCCTGCCTGTCACCCACTCCTCTCCCTCCTGGTTGTGATCCCTGTGCCTGGGGGAGGTGACTGGGTGCCAGCTGGGGCTCTGGGCATGCGGCCCCTGCCTCTCCTCCCTCTTGCTACAGCCTTACCTTCTAACGTGGGACCCCGGTACTAACACTGTTTCTCTTTCCTTGTAGCTAGAGCACATTCAGAAACACATATGGTATATGTAAGTAGCTTCTCCATGCACTAACGCTTGCTTTGCCTGCTACTGTGGCCTGGAGGGCCCGCTAGGAAGGGGGGCGGCCAGCACTGGAGAGGCAGGATGGGCCTGCAGGGCTGGGCCAGGGACAGCAGAGACGGGACCTGGGCTCCCACCCGCCTGCCTCCTTGGGGTGGGTGGGGTGGCCAGGCTGGGGCAAGTGACCGCTGTGCCCTGTCATCCACAGAGGGGGCAAGAATGAGCCAGAGCCAGAGCAGCCCATCCCACGCAAGGTGCAGATCCGCTCACTACCCAGCCTGGAGGACATAGACCCCGATGTGCTGGACAGCATGCACTCGCTGGGCTGCTTCCGGGACCGCAACAAACTGCTACAGGACCTGCTGTCCGAGGAGTAAGCTGGGTGGGTGGGTGGGGTCTCCACATCAGGGCTTGGGCTGCTCTGGGATGGAGCCCTTTTCGTGGCCAGATCCCATGTCCAGCAATGCACACCGCATCCCAACCCTCCTGCTGCCTCCTTGGTGCTGCAGGGAGAACCAGGAGAAGATGATCTACTTTCTTCTCCTGGACCGGAAAGAAAGGTACCCCAGCCATGAGGACGAGGACCTACCGCCCAGGAATGAGATAGGTATGTGGCCTCCCCGCTGCCCTGTGCCCCACGCCTCACCGGCTGCTGCTGACCCCTCCCTACACACAGACCCTCCCCGGAAGCGCGTGGACTCCCCGATGCTGAACCGGCACGGCAAGCGGCGGCCTGAGCGCAAGTCCATGGAGGTGCTCAGCGTGACAGACGGTGGCTCCCCGGTGCCTGCGCGGCGAGCCATCGAGATGGCACAGCACGGCCAGAGGTGCGTGCCTGCTCCCGGGTCCCGCGCCGTCCTCCCGCTCCCGGGGGAGGGCGGTGTAGCCTTCCACCATGCTCCTCCATCTGGCCTGGCCTGGGTTCAGGCCTGCGCTGCTGGCTGGGCTGGGCTGGGCTGTGCTGAGGGCTGCGGGGCTGCATGGGCTGGCAGGGCTGCTCTGGGCTCAGCCAAGATGGCTGAACTGGACTGGGCTGGGCTGAGCTGGGCTGAGCTGGGCTGAGCTGGACTGGGCTGGGCTGGGCTGGGCTGTACTAGACTGGATTGAACTGGGCCAAGCTGAGCTGGACTGAGTGTACTGACCTGGGTTTAATTGGAATGAGCTGGGCTGGCAGGACTGAGCTGCACTGAACTACCCTGAGTTGGGATGACCTGGATTGAACTGGACTGAACTTGGTTGAACTGGGTTGAAGTGGACTGAGCTAGGTTAAGCTGGACTGAGCTGAACTGAACAGGATTGAACTGGAATGAGCTGGGCTGAGCAGGATTGAACTGGAATGGGTCGGGCTGAGCATCTTTGAACTGGACACAGTCCAGCTGAGCTGAGTTAAATAAGTGAGCAGGATTGAACTGAATTGATACAGGTTGAACTGGACTGAGCTGGGCTGAGCTGGATTAAACTGGACTGAGCTGGATTGAACTTGATTGAAATGAAGTGAACAAATCAACTGATGTGGATTAAACTAGACTGAACTGGATTGAACAGGACTGGGATGGGCTGAGCAGGGCTGAGCAGGGATGAACGGGACTGAATGGGACTGAGCTGATTGGGGCCAGGCTGGGCTGCGAAGTGTCCGGGCCGTGTTCAGAGCTGCCGGTCCCAGTGGTTCCTCTCCCTGATACCTGCCTGCTCTGAATGGCCTGTTGTGCTGTGGCAGGGATGTGGACGCTGGGGTGATGGCAGACGTGATCTGTTGCCCCTCCAGAGCCTGGATGGGCATAAGCTGGCAGGGCTGCAGAGGCCCTCACAGTCCTTGGTGCTGGGCACAGCTCTAGGGACCCAGCCTTCCTTGCCCAGGTGGGGTCTTGGTTGTGTGGGCCCTGCGAAGTCTCAGGAGCCCTGGCCTTCCTCGGCCACCCTGTGGGTTGGGCCCCAGCACCCGGCTGCCTTTCTGCCTGTTGGGTGCCTGGGTGTTGGGGCAGAACCCGTGAGGTGGCCGGGTGGCTGTTACATAAGACTGCCCTGCCCCAGCCTGCCGGGGCCCTCTGGGGTGGGGCTGGCACGGTCTCCAGCACTGGGGCTCTGGTCCACTGTCCCTTGGCTCCTGGCACCAGGCTGGACAGCAAGGGCCTTTACTGACCGTGCAGTCCCTAAACCCCACAATGTCCTGCGTGTTGGAGCGGGTCCCTCGCTGTAGCCCAAGTGCTGCCCTCTCCGTGGCTGCTGGTGCCTCCCTGCCCTTTCTGTGCTATGGACTGAGCAAGTCCCTGGCTTCCGCCCCAGCTTCTGGCTGCGTGTGGGGTGGTTGCCGTCCGGAGGGTCTGCAGAGCCTTGTCCCACCACATCCCACTGCTTCCGCTTTTGGCCTGGCCGCCCTCCGAACGGGTGTCCTAGTTGTCGGTGGTGAATGCTGGGTGTCCTGCAAGACCCGGCTGCCCCACCCTGCAGGCTGCCCAGGGCAGGCAGGGTTTGCTGGCCCTGCCTTCACATCTCTTGCCGTCTCCGTGCGCTGGCCTGGGTCAGGTGGCTGTGCCCTACCCAGAGCCTTGTGAGGTCCAGCCTGGGTCCCGGGCAGCAGCCGGGCCTGGAGCTGACCTGTGTGCGTGTGGCAGTAACTCTGTTTTCTCGCTTTGTTCCTGCTGTAGTAAAGCAATGTTCAGTAAAAGCCTGGATATCGCTGAAGCCCATCCCCAATTCAGCACAGAAGACAGGTATACACCCTGCCTCTGCCCTAGCCCTTCAGCCCTGGATGTGCGGCTCTGCTGGACCAGGCAGCAGAGCGGGCCTGGTGGCGGGCTGAGCGGGACACTCCCTTCCCTCTTCTCTGCAATGGCACTGTCCAGGGCCAGGGGGAGCCAGGGCGGAGGGTCGGGATGACAGGGTGCGGCCAGTGGCCAGCCCTGGGCAAGAGCTACATTACTGACCTCAGACAGGCACTCCTGCCAGCGGACTTTGCCCCGCGGGGCTTGGCAGCCTGGGCGCCAGAGCAGCTGTGCCGTTCACTGTGGCCACAGGAGAAGTCAAGCAGCCGGCCTGGGCCTGGCTCTGCCAGGCAGGGCCGCTGTGCCCAGCAGGACCTCGGCCCACTAGTGCTGGCCACCTGGCCCAGCCTCGTCCCTCCTGCGCTTGGGCCCTGAACCTCTGTGCCCCGCCTCCTGGGCACCCACCCTGGCTGCCGGGGCGCTGCCTCCCAGCTTGGGTCACTGTAGTTCAGGCCTGCCGCGCCCTCCGCTTCTCTGTGCTGTCCCTCGCCACGGTGAGCTCTGGCTGGCTTGGCAGGCTGTGGGCCTCACTCGCTCTTGGCTGCTGCCCCTGTGTGGCTGTCCCACCTTCCCGACCTCTCAGGGCTGGGCGCCATGCTGAGAACCAGTCTTTGCTGCCTCCTGGCCCCCTTGGCGGTCAGGTGGGGAGCCTAGCAAGGAGCCATGGCCCCACCCACAGGTGCTGGGAGCCTGTTAGGGGGCCAGCGTGGTCAGGGTGCCAAGCCTCAGCGGCTCCCCAGCAGGCCAGGCGTGGCTGGCAGGCTGTGCCGGTCCCGCCTCCTCTCAGCAGCTGCCTCAGCCCCTCTGCCGCATTCCTCCTCTGAGGACCAGGGGCGTTGGCCTTCTTGTGGTGTTGGGGAGTAAGACCTAGTCCCCCCGGCGGGGACACCTGGGCCAGGCCAGGTCTCCTGCCAGGAGGGAGCAGGAGTGGATGGACGTGGAGGGCTGGGCTGTTGGGCGCCCGGCAGGCGGCCCACGTACCGACTCGGTGACATAGCCTTGGGGGGTGGGCACAGCCAGGGCTGGGCCTTGTGCCCTCATCCCTCACATACCTGATCCCTGCAGCTCCTTGCTGCAGGGCCCTCTGCACCTTCTGTGCCAGGCCTGGGCCTTTGATGGCATATGCCGTGAGCAGGAGGCCCGGGGTCCAGCTGCACGATGGGCACTGATGTGAGGTCAGCAGGATGAGCTTGGACACTGCTGTGCTCACCCAGGGACCCCTTGGGCTCAGCAGGCTGCACCAGCCCCAGAGCCTCGGGGCATCTGGAAGGTCCCCAGGGGAGAGGCCCTGGGGGCCCTGGGTGATCACCTGTCTGCTCTGCCACCCACAGGTCTCGGTCCATCAGTGGTGCCTCCTCAGGCCTCTCCACGAGCCCCCTCAGCAGCCCGCGGGTGAGTGACTTCCCACCCAGGCATCAGGCTATGGCCGCATCCCGATGGTGTGGTGGGGTGGGAGGAAGCTGGCCAGCCCCACGCTGGCCTGGGATCACTCGTGTGGCTGCTCTAGCTAACTGCACGTTCTTCTGTTCTGTGTCGTCTGTCCTCTTGTGTGTCATGTTTTCTTCTGTGGCCCTGGCTGCTCTCACTGGTCCTGCTTGGGTTCCTGAATGCTGTGTGTGCATGGGGTGGGGGCACGCATGGCACTTCGTGGTCCCCCCTCCCGCTCACTGCCACGCCTTGTAGCCTGTTAGAAAGTTCATCCTGCCTCCCCCACCCCCCGAACTGCCCCTTGTGGCCTGCTGCCCAGCCACTTCTGTGGAGCCCGAAGCTTGTCGGAGCACCCTGCGGCCTGGACACGCACTCACTCTGCAGGCTGCCTCACGGCCCAGCCCCAGGACCCAGACCTTGCCGCGCAAGGCCAAGCTGACTGACAAGCCGCTGCAGGGCACCAAGTCCAACCCACTCCCAGCCTGCACCCGGGCTCGGCCACCTGGCCCTGGCCTCAGCCCCCCGCTGGCCTCGTCCCCGGGTCCCCCAGCCCTGCCAGCCACTGAGACTGAACCAAACACCAAATCTGTCCCCACCATACAGGTGACCCCTCACCCCTCACCGAGGGGCAGTCCCCTTCCCACCCCCAAGGGGACGCCTGTCCACACGCCAAAGGAGAGTCCAGCTGGCACGCCCAACCCCACACCACCGTCCAGCCCCAGTGTTGGAGGAGTGCCCTGGCGGACGCGGCTCAACTCCATCAAGAACAGCTTCCTGGGCTCGCCTCGCTTCCACCGCCGGAAACTGCAAGGTTAGCATGGTGCGGGGTTGAGGGGGCCCTGCCAGGCTGGTCAGTGCCCACAGCCGCAGGGGGTGCCTATTGCTCCAGGATGCAGGTGCCCCTGGGTTGGCCCTGGCCCCTCCTGTCCTCCTCTGGGTAGTGGTCAGGTCCAGGCATGTGGGCTTGGCCAGCTCCCCTGGGGCTTCTGTGTCCTGCACTGTGCTAGGTAGCTGAGGGCCACTACCCGACCTGTTGGGGTGTATGTTGGGGGAGGGATGGCCGCTGACCCAGCAGGCCCAGCATGACTTCAGCACCAGGGCGTGGACAGTTCCCCACAGCTCCACCGTAGGTGGGTGCAGGGGCTGAGGATACCCAGCCCAGGCCAGAGCAGTCACTGCCTGCCTTCTCCCCATCCTTCCTGTGCACAGTTCCGACGCCTGAGGAGATGTCCAACCTGACCCCTGAGTCCTCCCCAGAGTAAGTGACCCCTGCACGAGGCTGCCTCGTACCTAAACACTGGGCCAGTGGAGGGTTGTGGGGTCCCTTTCCAGAGAGGGGACAGTTACCTCTGGGTGTTCCTCTGGAGCCCCTGCTTATCCTTCTGGTCTCACTGTGGATGGCCTGGTTCAGCCCTTGGAGTCCCAGGAGCCTGAGACCCCAGCCCTAGAGCACCTGCTCTGAGGGGCAGCTGAGTCTGGAGTCGAGTCTGGAGAAGTCCGCCATGCTGAGGAGGAGGGACGTGGCGGTGGGGCCTGTGGGGTGCCTGTGCAGGGAGGCAGGGTCCTGGCAGAGGCCTGGTGTGGGTGTGGATGAAGTGGGCAGGCGAGGCAGCGCCACGCTGCAGAAGTTTCTCCTTGGAGGACAGAACTGAGACGGGAGCTCTGCAGCCCTAGCAGCACTGCCCTTGGTGATAGGCACTGGAGTGAAGATGTCCCTGAGACGCACTCCACAGTGGTCTCCATCGCGGTCCCCGCTGGCATGATCTGACAACGCCAAGTGAACCCTGGCCCATGCACCTGCAGGGAGCAGTGGCTAGCTGGAGCTGTGGGATGGCACTGGGCTCTGAGCAAGGGAGACACCTTGGTTGCGTCGCTGGCTCTCAGCAGGGACCTCTGGTGGCCGCTGTGTGTGCTGACCCTGCTGATGAGACTGTCCCACAGGCATTGCTCCTGGCCTGCTGGAAACACACTTGGAGTCACTGTTTTCCAGAACAGTTGCCAGCTGGTCTGTGCGGTGACCACTGGCTGCCCTTCTTTTCCTCCTGTGCAAGACTCTGGTGGCCCTGTCCCCCTCCAAGGACCGGCACTGTCCTGTCCCCTCAGCCTCTGCAGGGAGGACTTGGCCCAGTTGCCACCAGCCCTGTGTCATGAGGATGCTCAGAGAGATGGGCACGCAGTAGGCGGGACAGAGACTCTGGAGGAAGCCAGGCCCTTCTCTCAGGTGGATGAGGACAGTCCAGTGAGGTCCACTGCTGATCAACTGCTGCGGTCATCCAGCACCTTTGTGGCCACCCAGGCTACTGTCTGCCCCCTAGCCACATGGACTCCAGCTCCAGCATAGGCTGCACTACCCCAAACCACGAGGCTCCAGTCACAGCCTCTTGGAAGTCACACTGCTGGCCCACAGAGCAGGAAGCTGGGTGCTCCGTTTCCTGTGTCTTCTTCAGGATGGGGCATCGGAAACCTTGTCTGCAGTTCCAGACAGTTAGCCACTCTGGGACGCCTGGGCTGGGCCCCAGGCCCTGGCACAGGCACTGTGCACAGTGAGGGCAGGAGCCTGTGCCCGGAAACAGTGCACAGGCTGGATGGTGGCTGCACTTGGAATGGCGGAGGGATGGGTGAGGCTGGAGAGCAACTCCAGAAAGGGGTGAGGAGGCCTCCACCTGTGCGGCCTGACATCTGCTGTGGTCTCCGCCTCTGTGGGCAGGACATGTATGGAGCCCTGATGGTCATTTGGCAGTACCTGGGCACCCAGGCCCCTCCTGGCAGGGTAGGGGCTGGGACACAGGGAGGACAGTGTCTGGTGGTGTGGGCAGGTCGCTTTGGGGCCCACGGCTGAGCACAGCATCAACCAGATGGTGGCTTCTTGGGCTGCACTGGGGAAGAGCTGTCCCGGTGTCCAGGTGTCCAAGGGCCTGGGCTGGTCTGGGAACTTGTAGGCTGCCAGAAGGAGGCCGGCGGGCGAGACGGTTTCGCAGGGGTCTCCTTAGGAGCAGGTCAGGCGTGCCACACCAGGGTTCTGACTTCACTGGGGAGATGGAGGCCGGAGGCATACGTCCTGGCCTGCATATCCAGCCCTTTGGGAAAGGGCGGGCAGCATGTGATGGCGCGTGGGGTGAGGAAGGGGTCTGGGAGGCAGGAAGGCGGCAGTGGGCCCTTTCCAAGCACAGTGTCCTGCAGTCAGCCCCTGGGACAGGTCTGCGGAGAGCGCTCTGGGCAGGACCCTCCCTGTGCCTGAGGGCAGGGCCACGGGCCGCCTATCCCCAGGCCCCCTGCCAGGTGGGAGGGGTGTGGCCCCATGGTCTGCAGGGCATTTGGCCCAAGCAGACCACATACTAGGCTGGGGACACTTGTCAGGGTGGGACAGAGCAGGCTACTGCAAAATTGAGGGACCTAGATAGAGAGTTGGGGCCAGCGCAGCCGCTTGGAGGGAGCTGAGGGTGGGACGGAGCAGCAGAACCAGGGTTCGGCTGAGGCTCAACCTGTGGGGACTGTGGTCAGGACTGTGGGTTAGGGAGGGCAAGTGTGTGGGCTTCGGTACATGGAGGAAGGCGTAGGGCTGGCGCTGGGAGGTGGTCTCAAGTTAGAAGATGGGTGCACGGTGAGGGTTCATGGTGGGGTGCCAGGTTGGGTGGGCCAGGAGTGAGGTTAGGGTCAGCGTCAGAGCCCCGGTGGTCATCACAGCCTCTGCCCCATTCCAGGCTGGCCAAGAAGTCCTGGTTCGGGAACTTCATCAACCTGGAGAAGGAGGAGCAGATCTTCGTGGTCATCAAAGACAAGCCCCTGAGCTCCATCAAGGCTGACATTGTGCATGCCTTCCTGTCGGTGAGCCCTGGGCACTGCCTGCTGCCTCCCGTCCCTGCGCCTTTCTCCTGACACGGCCTGCTGTGCTTCTGGTGGCCCAGTGGCCTGGGATGAGTGTGCCAGGGGCTGGCTGGCCTCCCCCCCACGGACACCTGCCTTGTCCTGGGCTGGGACTTTCAGGGGGCCTTCTCAGATGGCCCCTGGCCCAGCCTGGCCAGGGTGCCCTTGCCTGTTGGACACTGCCTGGAGTCCCTTGGAGCTGGGTAGCCTGAGCCCGTCCCTGGCCTGCCCCTGACTTGTTCCCTAAACCTGTCTGGCCACAGCCCCTGTGCCAGGAGATCCCTCTGCTTTTTGCCATTGTAACTCATACCTGATGTGGGCGCTGGGGCTCCTGTGTGGGCCAGGACTGAGACCAGTGGGGACCCCACCCAGGCCTGCCTGGTCACACCCACACTCGTTTGGCTGTGCTGCCCTGTTCCCAGCCCAGCTGGGCCGCAGGTCTTTTGCTGGTGTCCTCACCTGCGTGGGGGTGGGCCACGGTAGAGCTGCTCCCAGTCCCGAGCTCACGCACACGGCCCCCTGCAGATCCCCAGCCTCAGCCACAGCGTCATCTCCCAGACCAGCTTCCGGGCCGAGTACAAGGCCACGGGCGGCCCGGCCGTGTTCCAGAAGCCCGTCAAGTTCCAGGTGGACATCACGTACACGGAGGGCGGTGAGGCGCAGAAGGAGAACGGCATCTACTCTGTCACCTTCACCCTACTCTCAGGTGAGTGCCAGGCGGGGAGGGAGGTGTTCTGCGGCCTTGAGCCCGGGTCCTGACCCCCGTCTCCCCCAGGCCCCAGTCGCCGCTTCAAGAGGGTGGTGGAGACCATCCAGGCCCAGCTGCTGAGCTCCCATGACCAGCCATCGGCCCAGCACTTGTCAGGTGAGGTGAGGCTCGTGGCTCCTGCACTAGCGAGTGGGTGTGGCTCCAGGTGCGAGGACCAGGGGCGATGCCCCTCCTGCCCGACTGTGGCTCACCCTCAGGGAGCAGGGCCCCTGGCGCGGCGGCCACAGCACACTGAAAGGCGCCTCTTGTCCACTGTAGAACCGCCCCCGCCAGCGCCAGGACTGAGCTGGGGTGCTGGGCTTAAGGGCCAGAAGGTGGCCACCAGCTACGAGAGTAGCCTGTGACACGGCAGGTAAGGTGTCCGGCCCGCTGTCTGGCCGGGGCGGGCGGGGCTGCGGCAGGGCCTCGGGTGAGAGCCAGGCTGGCCCCGGAGGGCCCCGCACCAGGTGGCCGGACACGGGCGCAGCCCCGGCAGGCTGCGGGGGTAGCGACTGAGGCTGTGCTCCCCAGGGCTTCCTGCCACGGCACCCCAAGAGAGAGGCAGGGGCTTCTGAAGCCTGACCCCTGCCTCGAGCAGGGTGGGCAAGGCCCCGGCCACAGCAGAGCCCCATGGGGCGTCAGCTGCTCGGCAGCATCGAGGGCAGGATGCACACGGCAGTGTGGGCCTGTGGGGCAGCGGGATGGGCGCGGTGGGCGCCTGCATGGGCTGCATCTATTCGCTGGGTGCACCGAGCACTGGCAGCCCGGGGTTGCTGGCATCGTGAGCTGGGCCCTGGTCTGCAGCCTGGGCAGCTGCATCCAGCCACTCTGAGCGCTGTGGCACTGGGCCCATAGGGCCCTTTCCCAGCCCGGTCCTCACAGCCAGGGCCTGGCAGGGCCACTGTTGTGTGTGGGGCCCTTGAGGTCCTTCCACACACCCCTCCTCATTTCATTCTCATTCCATCACCTGTGGCTGTGTCCCCGACGTGTACCTTGTCACCGCTGTGGTGGGGCTCAGCTGAGCCAGGGCTGAGGGCTGGCAGGCAGAGGGTGGCCAGGAGGGTGTGTGGTCAGCCTGGGGCAGCTGCTGCCTCCTGGGGCCTTGGCCCCGCTGAGAATAGAGCAGAGGCTGAGGGACAAAGGCCTGTGCTCACGGGGACCCCAAAGACAGAGTGTGGAGAATGGCCAGGGCTGGGAAGGGCAGAGCACACAGCCTGCTTGCGGAGCTCTTCTGGAGACCCAGCCTGTGCCCTCTTACCCGAGGGGGTCTCCCCAGCCCAGTGCTTCCTGACACCTCACGCTGCAAGTTGCAGCTGCAGCCCAGAGCCCCACTGAAGGTAGCCATCACCACCGCTCCTCCCAGAGCTGGCAGCACCTGATGGGTCCCACCTGGGGGTGGGAGAGGCTGGGAGGGCCCCAGGAGCAGGCTGGTAGCTGCGTCTCATCCCATGCAGGCCCCAGCTCGGGCCCTGGCAGCGCCGACATTCCCAGGTGCCGAAGATGAAGGGGCCACAACAGCCAGGGTCATGGGAGTGGCAGGGTGAGGCTGTGCTGGTGGCTGTGTGGCCCAGAGCCACACTGTGTGTTGTCTTTGGCCCAGGAGAGACAGAGACGTGGCCAGGCGGCCGAGTCATCTGGAGGCTCCGGCCAGTGGGGAGCCCTTCACTGACAGCCTGTGCTGCCCACCCGCTTCCCCGAGCTCCAGGCTCTCATCCAAGCCCCGCCCTGCTTGGGCCCTGCCCTTCCTGGCCCCCCTTTCACTCTCTCCCTCCCTCCTCTCTCCATTCTGTGCTCCAGACACCACTAACTGTATGGAAATGATGACGGGGCGGCTTTCCAAATGTGGTAAGAACCCCTCACGCTCACTGGCACCTCAGCCTGGCACGCCTCTGCTCCCCTACAGCCTACCCTGCCCCCATGGCTGTCCTGGGTACCCTGTGTGGTATGTAGCGCAGGCTCCTAGCTGCCCCGCCCCATCCCTGCCAGGCTCAGGATAGGCCCTGGGGACCACAAGGCTTGAGCAGGAGGATCAGGAGGGGCTGGCAGCGTGTGGATGCTGCAGAGTAGGGAGTGGAGGGAGGCTCCCCGTCATGCACCTGGCAGTGAGCACAGGCCCAAGAGGGGCTGCTACTCGTCTCTGCCCTGTCCTTTTGCTGGGACCAGGGCCCAGCCCCCCACCTTCCTGCCACGCCCTCTATGCCTGTCCACCATCTGTCCATCTGTCTGTGTGCTGCGCTATCCACGCTGGCCAGGGGCCAGGCTTGGGGCTTCCCGGGGAGGTGTGGCGGCCACAGGCGTGCAGGTGGCCTCATCTTCATGCCACTGGTTGGGTCAGGCTCAGCCCTGGTGGCCCTGAGCGGGGAGGGAGGGGCCGGTGAGGGGCAGCCCTGGCATGGGGACTCTGCCGGCCGCCTGCCTGCCCTGCTTGCTGCCCACGGTCCCTGCTCTGTGCCCTTCTCGGGCTCATCTGTTGGGTTTTTCTTTCTCTCACCAAGGCCCCTTTGTTCATTCGTTTGTTTGTTCTTTCTCTCTCTTTCCCTCCCTTCCTTTCTCTCCCCCATTCTTTTCTTTTCTCTTTTTTTGTCTCCTGTTCTGTGTACCCAGGCAGCCCATTGAGTAACTTCTTTGACGTAATTAAACAACTTTTTTCAGACGAGAAGAACGGGCAGGCGGCCCAGGCCCCCAGCACGCCCGCCAAGCGGAGTGCCCAGGGCCCCCTCGGTGACTCCGCGGCCGCTGGCCCTCGAGGGGATGCCGAGTTCCTGACGGGCAAGGACACGGCCCCGGCCGCGGCGAGCAGCCTTAGACACTAGTCCCTCCCCGGCCACCACGGCCCTGTGTGGACCGGGCATGCTGCCCCCAGCCGCTGTCTTGGAGCCAGGGAGGAAAGGAGAGCAGCTGGCCCTGGCCCGTGGGCGGGGCTGCTGCACTCGCTCTTCTCTCTCGTGGTCTCTGTCTCTGCCTGTCTCTGACGGCGTCGCTTGTTTCCGCTCTGATACCAGGAATTATCCCGAAAAGTTAACATGTCACCTCCACGAGGCCAACCTCTGTGCTCCGCGTGGACGCTGGCTGACCGAAGGCAGCTGCTGTGGACCTGCCCTCCCTGCTGTCGCCGCCTTCGCCCACCCGCCCACCCACAGCAGCCAGCATGGCAGCATGGGAGGGCCTGGCCTCCCAGGACACCACCTCCAGCCCTGCCGCCCCGGACTGCGGTGACCAGCCCTCCACAGGGACCTGCCAACCCCATGGTGGGCAAAGCCACAGTGAGGAGTGTCCCTGCCTCCATGCTGCACCGGCAGGCCTCGTGGTCACCTCACCGCCTCTGCACCTCACGGGGCCACCTCCTGTGTTGTCTGCATCCATCTCCACAGCTGCACTGGGCCTCGGGTGCACCTGGCTTTGCTGGCCCTCCCGACAGAGGGGGACGGACCTGGGCAGCGGAGCCGCTGGGCTGGCCAGGCTGGGGCTGGGCTGACATCAGTATTATTTATTTGCTGTTTTAATTTATTGAGTTCATTTATGTCTCTGTTCTCCGTTCAGGGAAGGGACGGCAGGACCACCCTCCTGTCGTCTGTCCGTCCGTCCGTCCGTCCGTCCGTTTCGGGCAGGGTGGGTCCAGAGCCGAAGGGCCCTCTGAGGACAGAGTTGGGGGGCTGGGGCAGCAAGGGGCCAGCTGGTGGGTGCAGCCCTGGCAAGCTACTGTAAACTTCAAAGAATTCCTGCAAGATATTTTTATAAACTTTTTTTTCTTGGTTGTTTTTGGAAAAGGGTGGGGGGGTTGGGGAGAGTTGCTGGGCAGGGCTGGATTTGTGTTTCATTTCCTTGCTCTTGGCTATTTCTACACACACACACACACACACACACACAGCGGTGCAGTGAGCTCCAGCCCGGGTTGTGCTGTCTGCACTGCAAGCAGCAGCCCTGGGCTCTTGCTGTGGTGGGGCGGCCCAGGGCACCCTGACGGCACCGCCCAGTGCTCTCTTGGTGTGTTCAGGAGTGAGGGGTGGGAGCACGACCCTGGAAAGCTTCCCTCTCGCACACAGGATGGCAGGGCACTGTGGGGCTTTTTAAATTAAAATGAAAAAAACAAAAAACAAAAAACAAAAATCAGGATAGAGTTGGCATGTGCCTCTGTGGCACATTCCTGCTGTCCATAGTGAGGCCAAGCTGCCTGCCCATGCGGGCCGCTGCCCATGCCCACCAGCAGCCAGGCTTGCCGGGCTGCACCCACTTCCAGCTGCTGCATGTCCTCCCTGTCCAGCTGGTGCAGGGCACGGGCAGTGCGGGAGGCCCCATGCATGCCTTTGCTGCGAGCGCCCACTCTGCTGTGGGTGTCCCCCGCCACCCCTCATGTATAGATCTTAATGCTTCTGTTACATTAAACTCTGCCACAGGCTGGGATTTCTATACCTAAGAGAAAGCCAACAGCTGTAGCAGCAAGCCATGCAGCACAGGTGGGAAGGGAACCGAAGCAATACCTCACGTTAGCCTTCCTCTTTTGTACTTCGACACGCAGACTCACGCCGAGCCATGGAGTGGACAAGCCCATCCAGTGTACCCCTGTCAGACAGCTGTGAGCAACTCGGTCCCGGAACAATAAATTCCTTCCATAAAGACAGCCGACGCAAGGTCTCCGTGCGGGAAGGGCGGGCATGGGAAGGGCAGCCTGTCCCAACAGCGCCCAGCCGGGGTCCACCCAGCTGAAAAGAGCAGAGCCCAGTGTCGGGGCCGGGTGGCCAGGGAGTTGCACGTGCTGGGGCCTCTTCCTAGGCTGCCCGGCTGGAGGAAGGGTCCCACGGCTGGGCCAGGGAAAGAGCACAGGGGCCAGCCTGGGGTTCTCTGGGACCAACAATGAGAAGTGACAAGTGCTGTCTGCCCTACACCTGAATGGCCTCACCTGGCACCTGGCCTGTCTCCTGGAGCAGAAATCTTCATGCTCCTTGCTGGGGAAAATCCCGATGAGGCACTGGGACCAGCCCTGGAAGTAGAGGCCAGGGGTGGCAGTGGCCTCCATACTCATGTCAGAGGGGCTGACAGCTGCCCCTCTCGGCTGCCCCCAGTGTGGCTTGGCAGGAGGCCCCGCTGTTGGGCCAGCCCTGGAGAGCAAGGCTGTGTTGCACGCAGTATACAGATTGTCCCTGGTGCAGTGTCCCGTGCCTGTAGGGGTCTGCAGCACCCTAACCTCTGCCCATAGATTCCAAACTGTCCCTTGCCCCTGCTGTGCTCAGCAGGGTTTCCTGGGTGCTGCTGTAAATCTCCTGGGGGAGAGCGGCTGGTGAATGCCCCCTAGAACTAAGCTTCGGGCACATCTGCAGTCCTGCAGAAGTGTTTGCCTCAGCGCCACTGTCCAGCTTGTGACCAGGGCACTTTGGTCAGGCTCCAGGCCAGCCGAGGAAGGGCGCCTTCGGGAGGCTGGGTCCTCCACTGCACCTGGGTGCACTGCGCTACCCAGAAGGCACCCTGGGGCGGCCCAGAGTCCTGCTGCTCATGTGCTCAGGGAAGGAACGTGGCACTGGGACGCAGCCAGGTACACGATGGCCTCCGGGCTTCCAGCTGCTGGCTGCAGGCAGAAGCCCTCATGACCTGTGCTCCTGTTCCTGCTCTTCTGAGAGTGCTCGCCACACGGCCAGTACCTTGCCTCCCAGTGTGCCCTCTGCCATCAGCTCTCATGGCGCTGGACTCAGCCCCAAGAGACCAGTGGGCAGCAGCCTGGAGCACCCCATCTGCACACTGCCGCACCCCTGTGGCCAGGAAGGGCCTTGTCCTACAGTACCATTGAGGGTACCACGCACTTGGTTCCAAGTGGCAGAAGCTAAAGCAAGCTCAACCCACACTTATCAGCATTTACACAAAAACATGAACACACTGACCTTGAGGACCAGCCAGCTGCCTTCCCTCACGTGGTCCATGCAGCAGCTAAGGAGGACCGGCAGACTTTGTTAGAGCACGCCCTCTGGTCCCACTCCCCAGCCCTCAGCTGGCACACTTGGGTGGGATGAGCTCGCAGACAGGCAGCAAGGCAGGCCATCCAGCCAGAGCCACATTGTTCTGCTGGCCAGTCGGTATAGGACGCAGCAGCCTGAGCACCCATGGGGGCAGCGGGACCTGTGGGGAGATGAGCAAGTCCTGTTGCCAGCTGTAGAGTGGGTGCAGCAGAGCCGGCTCTCACCCCAGGCCAAGCTACCCAACAGAGGGGCCAGCTCCTGCTGCGGGCTCCTCTGGCCTGTGTGCCCTCCCCCTTGCTGGCCTCTCCCCTTGTTACCGCTTCCCCAGCTCCAGCCTGCTCCTTGCCACTAGTGTGAGCTGACCGGATAGAAGGCTGCAGGCAGCCAGCTGATAGTGGGAGGGGGAGAACCAGTGGGAGATGTCAAGGCAGCGGTGCCTCAGGCTGACGGAGGCAAGGAATAGCATCACTGACCTGAGGCCTGCAGCAGCCTGGTGGGCCGGGCCCTGGAACCAGGTGCTGAGCATTGCGCTTTTATGGGTCACCTCCTTAGGCTGTCAAATAGACCCACATTTCAAATGTATTAGTTCCCTGCTGCTGCTGTGACAAATGACCACACTCACAGACTTCCTGTCTTATGGTCTCACAGGCTGGATATGCAGGAGCCAGTGGGCCTGTGCCCTCTGGGCCCCAGAAATCACCCACTTCCTGGGCACCCCACCCCAAGAGCTTCTCCTTCACCTGCATAGCTGCCCTGGTTCTCCCTGTCCCACCCTGCCTCCACTCTGGGCTCTGGGCACCCTGGGCAGAAGGTCTCCACACAGTAGGGTGCGATCTTCCCTGCAGCTCCACACCCCTGGGCTGTGTGGCATTTGAGCAACTTCCAGGGACCAAGACACACGGGCAGCTCTGCATGTGAGGGGTGTTACCGTTCCTGTCCAATCCATCCTCAGGGAGGGGTCCCAAGGTCAGGAAGTGTCAGTGCATCACCACCGAGCCGCATTCTACAACATGTCCACATCTCAACAGTTCGGAGTTCTGAGTTGTCGTCTGCTCCAGCAGGTGTGGGAGGAGCTTGGTGTGGCTGAGCCCAGGCACTTTCTCCACACGCTGTGCCTGTGGACACAGGTCATGAGCCTCCTGGCCACAGCAGCAGGACAGACACCCTCTGTGGGTCACACTCTGCCCCTGCACATGTACCCTGTGGGCCACTTGCTCTTTTTATGAAAAATGGCCAGTGTTTGCAGCTGGACAATTTCACTAGTTTGCTTCCTCCTGCAGAAAAGCGAGGGGCCTGCCTTTCCACCTTGTCTCCCCCAGCTCAGTCTGAAGAAACTGCAGGCCTCCTGTCTACCACATAGGCACTCTGTGAAGTGAGACACATCCGCGGCTCTCCCGGCATTACCTCTTCTGCAAAGATGAAGGTGAAGTACTCACACTTTCTTGTGCAGGAACCCAACACTGGCCTCCCCTTTCTGAGCCACTGGCTAAGGACTGTCCAGCCTCACCCTCAACTTTTCCCTGCCTTCCTATCTCCACACCTTAGTCTTAGGAATTCAGACAGGCAGCCAATTCCTCAGGTGCCCAAGCACCGTGGCACTTCCATTACCCGCCTGCTCTCACACTACATACAGCCCTCAGCTCTCCAGACACCTCTGCCGGGGCCCAGGCCAGCTGCCGCGTGGCACGGCCTGACCCCAGGGACTCCCTCCTAGTGCTCCTGCTCCCGAGCGTTCTTGCAGCCCCCATCGCCTTTGCTGTGCCCTTTCCACTTCTGTGTCTGAGCAGGAGCCCTGAAAGCCACACTTCTGCCAAGCTGTTCAGGAATCTGCACCGGGCGTTGCCCACAGCGCAGCACCTCGCTCCCAGGACCCAACTCTGCAGCAGCACTTACCACACACTGGTTTAGGAGAAAACAAATCTGTACCTTGTATTTCTGAAAGTTACAAATCCACAGCGAGGTAAATTCGCACAGCATCTCCGGGAAGCTCAGGGAAGTCCTTCCCTCTGCACGGCTGGGTCCTTCTCAGGCTGCCACCCCTTGTCTCCCTGTTTGTGCCCCTCTCCATGTGAAGGACCCTCACAGGGGCACTTGGCCCACTTGGGCGACCTAGGTTCACTCCCCAACTCAAGGTCTGCTGGTCAGGAGCCCTGATTCTTACGTAGCCTTTGCTACAGAGGCAGTGAAGTCTGGGGGTCAAAACATGATTTGGGGCGGGGAAGAAGAGCAGCAGCTCTCCCTGCACAGGCGGGGAAACCGAGGTGCAGGCGGGAAGGTTTCCCTGAGGCCCGAGTCGGCCAGGACTCAGGGTCTTGTGGCAAAGAGCTATGCAGTGGACACAGTGCCCTGTCACCCTCAGAGGTGTGCAGGCTGGTACCGTGGGGGCTCACTGTCCAGTACCCCACAAGCAGCATCAGCCCTCATCCTGCTGCCCACTCCTGCCTGGGTGGACTCCACCAAGTGCACTGCACAGGCGCCGACATCCTGTGGGCCCGGGGTCCTACCGCTCCTTCCTGTCAGGCCGGTGTGCATCCTGGACTCCTCCGAGGAGCTCCTGTGGCTGCTGGTGGATGCACTATGTGACTGACAGACATCTTGGGTCCTATCTAGCAGTTCTGCCTAGCAAGCTGCATCCTTGAGGCGCCACAGTCCCTGCCCGGCCAGCCACAGAGCCTCAGCTGCCCTGCCCTGTGCCCCGGCCGCCCTTTTCCACCCTGGGGGCTGACCAGTGGGGACCCTCTTGCCAGGCCAGCCCCTCCCTTGCCCACAGGCCCCCCAGCACCTGCAGCCAGCACAGCCTGGGGTCAGGTTCAATGGACATTCCCAGGCCTCTGTGTGGGACAGAGCCAGGTGGCGGGCAGCACCAGGAGTGGGGTTCATGTTGCCCTGAGGGCTCCATCCTGAGGGCTGGGTTGGCAGGCCCGTGGTTGATCCGGGCACCTGGATTTCACAGCTCTTCCCACAGACCCATGGTGCACCCAGGGTCAGACAGATAGTACAGAACCCCGGAGGGGGTAGGACCAGGCTATGAGGACTTGGGACTTTCTGGGGAGCCTCGGGCAACAGTGGGCAGCTCTCAGGAGCAGGTGGAGTGAGAGGCTGCCGTGGAGGTCCAAAGAGAAGGCTGGCAGGACAGGCCTTGGAGGGCATAGGCCAGGAGGACCATGCGGTGGCAGGTGGCAGGAGCAGCCATCCCTGTCAGCACATCCAGCACAGTGCCCAGGCCCGCTTCACTGCTCAGTCTTCACCTTGGGCCCCAACCCCATTTCTTCTCCACTGCTACTGCACGCTGCTACTCTGGACACCTCCATCCTCCAGCCACGCAGCCCCATGTAGGGCCCAGCAACTCAGCCAGGGCTGCAGTCCCTGCCCTGCATGAAGGATGAGTGCCAGGCACAGTGATGCCCTCCTCCCACCCCTTCCTGCCAGCAGGAGTGGCCAGGTTGAGGACACACACAAGGCTGTGACCTGAGAGAATTCTGTTTATTACGACTGAACAGATGAACTAAAGCGATCTCTGCCTCTGCCGCCTGCTGCGTCTCCACGCAGAGCCTCGGCCCAGCCCGGCCTCAGCCGGCATCTGTGCACCACAGGCCCTCGCCGAGCTGTGGGAGGCAGCAGGAAGGGGTGACAGGAGCAAGCAGCAGGTGTGGGCCCTGGTGGGTCACCTTAGCCCCCACTCAGAACCATGAAGAGCCAGGATCCAGGCACAGCCAGGGGAGGGTCTCTGAAAAAAGCCCCACCCGAAACAGAGCAGGAACCCAGTCTGCAGGTCAAGGCCCTCAGAGAGGCCCGCCTCCTACGAAGTGTGTCTTCCAAAGTGGCAGAGCCCAGGGAGGGCACCACGGAGGGCAGGGGCCACACAGCAGACCCAAGAAAGGAAAACCCCACATAGGAAAATGCAAACGTCAGTCCAATAAATGTTGAATGAATGAATGAATCCAGACTCGCTGCTACAAACAGCACTCATCCACCCAACAGGGAAGCCAGGAAGCACACCGCAGCTTCGGTGTGCTGTGGAGCCCTCGCTTGGGGCGGCCCAAGGCCCTTGGACCTCACCGCCAGCGTGCCCGGGCACGTGTGTGCACACGCACACACACGGTCGTCTCTCTGCACATGGGCACCCGTCCAGCCCAGGGCTCATCTCTCTTTCACGTGGTTCTGTGCCCCAGAGGCCCCGCCACTGGCCCCATCCCCACTGCCACCCCCACCGGGGCTGCTGCATAGCACCTCGGTGAGGTCGTCCATGACGGCGGTCTCTTTGGGGTCGAGCAGGCTGAACTCCCTTGTGAAGAGGATGAAGTGGGCATACAGTGTGTTCAAGTGTCCATGCAGCTCCAGGGCCAGCGTCTCCTTGAAGTGGGCCCAGTAGATGTGGCCCAGCACATGGAACAGGTGCCTGCAGATCTTCTTCACCAGGGCCTCGAAGGAGCTGGGGAATTCTCGGCCTGGGGGGAGGCGGCGGGTCACAGGCTGGCAGGGGGCCCGGCTCCCCGCCCTGCAGCTGTGGAGAAGCACACAGCCTCCGTGCCCAGAGGGAGCGCAAGGAGCATCCAGCCTGGCTGCTGCGGTCTCTTGCAGTCTGGCCCAGCGGGTGGTTCACAGTGCCAGCCTGGTGTCAGCCACTCCAGGGCACCTGTGTGGGCTGGGCTAGGGGTGAAAAGTCCCGGGCACCTGGCAGCTGGCCCCCTGGCAGCTCAGGGTCTGCTTCGGGACCCCCAGCCCTGCCCAGGCCTAGAGTATCAGCCTAGAGCACCCAGGAGGGTGGACTGTGATGGCCTCATTGCAGAGTTGCTGGTGGAGGCCGTATAGGGCCTGTCATGGTCCTAAGTCCCTGAGTGGGGGGCCACATGGTGCCAGAGCTCAGGTCCAATGTGCTGGGCAGGGGTCATGCAGCTGCTCCCCCTCATACCCCACCCCAGCCACACCCTAGCCACCCTCCAGCCAGCCCCCTGGGTGGGCTGAGGTGCCAGCTGAGGGACATACCATATTTTGTGGGGAACACATCTTCATCGGTCACCAGTTTCTGCACAGAGCTCATGACGAAGTCGACGTACTGCGGGGCTGTGCACTTGACCTTCTTTCCCCGCTCGTCGTACCAGTAGTACTGTCTGTGGGGACAGAGGCCAGTCAGTGCCTGCTCCCTCCTCACGTGGCACAGAGCTCGCAGCGCACAGGGCAGCAGAGATGGCGGACCACACTCCTGTGGGTGAGTGTGGGCGCCCGTTCCGAAGAGTACCAAGGGCAGTATGGGCAGCCTCAGCCCAGGGCTGGACATGCATGTAGAGAACCAATGCGCTCCTCCTCATTTTCTCTAGTTTTGCGTGGGTTTGGAGTCTACTGTGCTTGCTCTTTTGACTATGCTGCCAGGGCTGGCTGTGAATTCACCATCCTCCTGCCCCAGCCCCCAAGAAGCTAGAATGTGCCCATCTCTGTTTCTATCACATAGCTGCCTGTCTCTGCCTGGCACTGACTGGAGGGCTTCGAGAGCACCCACTTCCACCACTGGAGCCCACACCTGCCCATGGGGTCCAGTGGGCACCTGCAGTCTGGCCTCTGGATCTCACTGCCAGACCCCCAACACCCCTCAGGTGGCTGCCAGCCCTAAGAAGCCAGGAGCAGAGACAAGGACATGCTGAAAAGCTCAGGATTTTAATCATCTGGTTACACAGACATGACCATGATCAACCACACTGCACACAGAAGAGCCCGGACTGCCCCATGGCACACTACCTGCTGCCCGCACTCCAGGTGTCTCCTGAGAACCTGCCAGCAGAGGACTCACACACCTCCTCCTGCAGCACACGCTTCTGGGAGCTGGCCATGTCATGGGACACCTTAGGTGTCCATCCCTCTGAGATGTGGCCCATTCATCTACACAATGCTGAGCAACACCTACTTCTTTCCAGGTAGGCAGCAGCTATTAACACAGTCTCTGTGTGGACACGAATTTTCTTTGTGGAGATTTCTATAGGGCGGATACCAGGAAGGGGTCATGGGTCACAGTAAGGATGTGCTTCATCTCAGGAAAACCTGCAAACCAGTCAGGAGCAGCAGCACCATTTACATCCCAGGGCTGCGTGTCCTCATTAGTACCTGGTGTTCACACAGGTGTGGTGGCAGGTGTACAGCAGCACCTCGAGGGGCTTTGATGTGAATCCCTCTCCCTGCCACAGGTACTGAGCATCTTCCTTACACCCTTAAGACCACTTGGGGGAGCTGTCTCCAAGTCCTTTGCCCACTGTACACTGAGACACCTTCCTGTAAGTGCACCAAGAGCGCCTCAGGTGTTCCAGACCCCGTCAGTGTGTGTGCGAGCTTGGTCGCATGTGTTCGGGATCCCAGAGGTGCACTGAGAGCTTATTTCATAAGCTGGATCCTTCGTGCATGTGAGAGTTCTTGCTGAAGTTTTCTGGGTTCCTCAGTACAGTCGGAGCTCGTTACATATTCTGGACACCGTTAATATACGAAGGATTTTATGTGTTCTGGAGACTGGTGTTTTGTGCCATATGTGACCTACAAGATGTTTTCCTGTTCTTCAGTCTGCCTCTCCTTTCTCTTAACAGTGTCCTTCTCAAACCAAAAGTTCTAAATCTTTATAAAGTCCGCTTGATTCTTCTCCAGTTTCACAAAGCTCTGCTTAACCCCAGGTGATGTGGATTCCCCTCCAGCCCTTATAGACTCACATTTTCTACAGAGGGTTAGGGTTAAGCTGACACTCTCCTCACTTCTGCGCACTCCTGACTGGCATCCACGGAAGTGTCTCTTGGAAACACTGTCCTTTCCCCACCGAATCTCTCTGGCACCTCATCCAAGTCAGAAGGCCAGCTCTATGCGCCTCCTTCTAGATCCTGCTCCAACCCCACTGTCAGTGTCTGTCCCTTGGCCAACGCCACACTGTTCTAACTGTTGCAGTTTTACACATAAACCTTAAAACTGTGGGACTCTAATTCTTGTTTCAAAATTCTTCTGTTCCAATGGGTAATGTTTCTAACTATTAGTACATTTGTGTACTGTATGAATCTCTTAAAATTCTGACATTCTGCAGTCTAGCAGACATGTTGTTTTTATTTTTTTCTTCCTTAAGATTTAGGTTTCTTATAAGTATTTTTACCAACTTAAGCGTTTGTTTGATGGAAACCCTGCTTTTAAAACTATCACTTAGCCAGGCGTGGTGGTGCAGGCCTGTAATCCCAGCATTTGGGAGCCTGAGGCAGGAGGATCATTGCAAGTTTGAGGCCAGCCTGGGCTACAAAGTGAGTTCAAGACCAGCCTAAACTGTGTAATGAGACCGTCTCGTTTTGTTTTTTGTCTTCTTGAGACAGGGTCTTGCTATGCAGCTTAGGCTTGCCTTGAGCTCACTTTGTAGCCCAGGCTGGACTTGCAACGATCCTCCTGCCTCAACCTCCTGAGTGCTGGGATTACAGGCATGCGCCACCACACCTGGCTGAGACCGTGTCTCAAAAAGAACAAAACAAAACAAAATGAAGCAAATCCCCCCCAAAAACCCCTATCACTTAATGGGTTCTAATAAATTAAATGTGGAATTTACAAAAATCCTTGTAACTCTCCTAGCTACTGTGCCCTTCCACATGAATTAGAACTAGCTGGACCAGATCCATAAAACGTTGCACTAAAAAAACAGATCCACCTGCAGGGGGATTTATATTTTTCATATGCTGTGTCTTCCCATCCAGGGACACATCCTCCCACTTACATAGATCACTGCTGAGTTTCTGCATCAGTGTTTTGTAATTTCCAGGTACAGCTCCTATGAATGCTGAGTTTATACCTCAGTATCTCCTTGTTTAGAGCTACTATAAACGGTACTGCCTTACTAATTTAGGTTTCCAACTGTCCATTGGTAGTATAAAGAACTATAGGTATTTTTTCTGACATGTTGACCTGGCTTTATTTCTTTATTGCTTGAATCCTTGGGGGCTTTCACAATCATGTTCTATACAAGTGGTGATAGCTTTATTTTTTTCTTTTCCAATTTGGATGCCTTTTATTTCTTTTTCTCCCCCAGTGCACTGCCAGTCTTGAACTTTTGTGTTTTCCAAACTACTGGTGCACTGGATTAAGCTATATAATTTACATGCTTAGAGGCTTTTTAAAAATGTCTCCTTATCATTCTTTTTTTTTTTTGGCACCGGGAATCGAACTCACAACCTTATGCTTGCCAGACAGGCACTTGTGTCACTGAGCTATATCCCCAGCCCTCCTTATCATTCTTTATTGTGCTGGTTGTATAGTTATGTTCTCATTCTTTATATCAATCATTTGCATGGACTCTCTTTTTATTTTTATGCCTTGCTAAAGATTTATTGATTTTATTGAACTTTTTAGACAAGTAAATTTTGGTTTGACTTCCCTACAGTCTTCAGAAATCACATTTAAGACTTACTATTTCCTTTGTTCTACTCAATTTTAGTTGATTTTTTTTTTCCCCCCCAGAACCGGGAATTGAACTCATGACCTTGCGCTCGTTCAGGCAGGCGCTGTGTCACTAAGCTAAATCCCCAGCTCCTGAATTGATTTTTTGCTTATTTCTTAAGATGATTAATTTGAAATCTATTTCTTAAGATTATTAATAACTATAACTTAAGATTATTAATTTGAAATCTATTTATAAAGTAAGTATAGCCAGGCGTGGTGGTGCACGCCTGTAATCCTAGCACTTGGGAGGCTGAGGCAGGAGGACTGTTGTGAGTTCAAGGCCAGCCTGGGCTACAAAGTGAGCTCAAGGCCAGTTGAACTGCAAAGCAAGACCCTGTCTCAAAAAGACAAAAAAAAAATTAAGTATAAAACAAACATCCAGTCCTATAAATTTCCTTCTAAGCTTTGCTATATCCCACAATTCTGATTGTAATTTCATTTGTGTTTATTTTAAAATAGCTTCTTTCTCTTGAGATTTTCTCTCCAGCAACACATTATTCAGGAGTGTGCTGACTCCCAAGAGCTTACCTTTCTAATACTGGGTTCCAGTTTAACTCCATTATGGTCATATAACTTATTTAGTATAACTTCAGTTCTTTAAAAATTGTAAAGAGCTCTCTGTAAGCCAGGGTGTGATCTATTTTAGTGAACATTCCTTGTGAACTTGAATGTGCACTCTCTTGCTGAGGCCGAATGTTCTCCAGTGCCACCTGGGCCCAGGGGTGTGCCAGTGAGCTCTGCTCTGCTTTAGTTGGAGGGTCGGGCCCGTGTTGGGCTTCAGCAGTCTGTGCGCTCCGTGCACAGCTCTGCGCTCCCTGTAATGCACTGAGCATTTCTGCCTGCAAGCCAGCCCTTTTCTAGCATGTGATCTCTCTCTGCCCCGTGAACCTCCTCTAGTTCCTCGGCTGGTAGGACACAGCCCCTTCAGCCTTCTTCCGATGACTGTCTTCTTGGCTTGTCTTTTTCCACCTTTTACTCTGAACCTCCACATTTGGCATTTGAAGTACCCCTATCATCTGAGTATCTGTGTCCACAGATGCTGAGGGCGAATCACATACCCCAGGAGATAGTGTCAGAGGTGGAGCCTCTGGGAGGCGGAGTCTGCTCTGTGACTGACGCCCAGACCCAGGGCCTGCCCCTCCTATACCTGCACTTTCAGCCTTGCTTCCATGGCTTTCAGCACTGTCTATGGCATTTTGTTACAGCAGCCTGAACAGATGAATGAGTTTCTCACAGAGACCACAGTTGGCCCTGAGAAAGTTTTCCTAAATAAGTTTTCTGTTGTTGTAAACACTGTCTTCTAATTGTGTCTACACCATTCATATTTACTGTAACATTTGATCTGTTTTATTTTAGATTCACCATTATTTGATTTTGTTTGTTCCCTCTGCTTTTCATCATTGTATTTCCTCTATGTAGCTTTCTCTTCAGCTAAATTTTTACTTGTACTCCATTTTAACTTACCTACTAAGATTCTGTATCTCTTTCTAGTTTTAGAGGCTGTTCAAAGGAGTACAAAGCACATACTTGACTTTCACGCTCAGTTCTGCATCCGTGTGTGGCCTCTCCAACTAGAGGCAGACTGGCCAGCTCACACTGGGCCTCTCCCCCTCCACCATGGCGCTCACACAGCCCTTCTCCACAACCGTGAACCCCTCAGACCAGTTTTGGTTTCTGCTCTTGCCTATCTGATGATGACACGCTTCTGTTAGCTGAGCTGAGAGGGAGTCTGTGCTCCCACTGTTTCTGTGGCTCCTCCTGAATGAGGAGGACTCCTGGACAACCTCTTATGGAGGTCTGGGGCCGGGACACATTTAGTTTCCCTTTGTCACTTTCCCTTCATTCCAGAAGAGCACGGTCACTCACAGATGTGGGATCTGGGCAGCCTTTGCTTTGTCAGCATTTACGACATGGCGGAGCTCTGTGGGTCCCCAGTCCCACCTACCACACTGAAAGCCTTTCTTCTGCCCCAGGCGCACAGCTTCGTAGAGCCTGTGCACAGAGCTTGTCTGCCCTGTGGGAGGCACTCAATGTGACCTCCTCAGACTGGCCCCAGCCTCTCTTACCCCTTGGATTCCAGCACTGGCCTTTCTGGGTTGTCTCTGGGCGCTGCCAGGATGAAGACAGAGCCTGTCTATTAAGCACCCTTTCTGACTAGGCAGACCGGCTTGCCTGGGCAATGGCAAGGGGCTCTGTGGATCTCTGCCCAACCTCCCTTTGCTTTTCAAACTAGTCTGAGTTTCCATTCTTTGGTCTCAAATGATTTCTAGGAAGGGCTATAGGAAAGCGAATCCACATACAACAGTGTATACAAAGTAGGCTACAGACACAGGTGAAGGGGAGTGTAAGGGAGTGTCCGGCTCTCCAGCATGCACAGGGATGGCCATCCACATGTGGACGCAGGATTGCCCCCACACCACGCCCTATGCTCTTACCAGGAAGCTTTGTTCAAACAAACCCAATCCGGAGGGCCTGTGGCAGCCACTTTGTCAGGCACCACCAACACTGCTTCTGGCCTGGCTGGACAAACACTCTTGAGTGCTGCCTCACCTATCGTTAGAACCCATCTCTCCCACCACACCAAGCTTGCTCCCAGCATGGCCACAGAGCATGGTCCCGTCCTCCCAGGACAATGCCAGACTATGCTGCTTGGGTGGACAGGGTATGGAGAGGCAGCTGCACCTGTCCCACATCACTAAGCACAGCTGTGACCTACTGGGATCATGTGAGTGCCTCCTTCCTGTGGGCTCTCCAGAGCAGAGCTTGGCTTTGTCTGAGGACCTCCACTCCCCATGCCAGGAGCCTGGAGGGCCACATCTATCAACAGGATGGTGCATCCACACACGTGTTCATGTGTCTGCATCTGGCCCGGGCCTGTGCATCCTGATGCAAGGAGACACGCTTGGCTGAAGCCCACAAGGTTAAGCCCTGGCAGACATGGCCTTCCACCTGTGCGACAACCAACACAGCATGGGTAGTAAGCCATGCCACCTACATTCTCCTACCCACAACACAGGTAAGGTACCCACTGCAGAGATGAGGTCTGTGCAAGAGCTGCCAGCAGCGGGCCTGTGTGGCAGCCACCAGGAAGGCACTTCAGCCCCTACAAAATATGCCTGCTTATACCAGCCATGCTATTCCTCCTAGCATGCAGAAGTCAGAAAAGTAGCTGGTGCAGAGGAGCACTTCCCCGTGATGCCCTGCAATCTCAGGCAACCACACTTGGGCACCCTTTTCAGAAACATCCCTGCCTGTCAGCTTCCTGCCAGCTCCTGATAGCCCTGTGCCCTAGCAGGGACCCAGAAGGCCTGGCCATCAACCTGATGGACAGGTGGCTGCACAGACAAACGCTCAGCCGGAGGCTCTGCAGGACTCTAGGTAAGCCTGTGGCCTGGGTCTCACAGAGCCTGGCAGCAGGGCTGACCACAGACCATCCTGCCCCTCCCAGGTGGGTGCGACTCACGTGTTGCACACGGCCATCGTCTGACACGTCTCTCCTGTGCAAAATTCTGAGATTGTGCTATATTGCAGGTTGATGTGGTGGAAAAATGTTGTTGCTGGAAGAGAAGGAAAGGGCCAGGTTTGAAACACCCCACTTCCAACTGGCACTCAAGTCCACCCCCTCCCCAAGGGGCTGCTGGGCAGAAGCTGGGGTCCTTGGGATGGGGGTGGAGCAGGAGGCTGGGCTGACCACAGCCTTAGGGTCCTCCCCACCAGCCTACACGCACTGTTACTGGCCAGCCATTCATTGAGGTCGATCTCCCGGGGCAGCACCACCAGCTCCTTGAACTCAAAGTCAGTGATCCTGGATTTAGTGTGCTCTGGCTCCAGGTACATCTTCTTCTCCTCCCCAGCAGGCTTCTTGCCATTGGGCTTTGCTTTAGACTTCCTGCCGAGAGAGAAGGGACAGCATGGTCACCACATGCTGGGTGATTCAGGTCCCACAGGGCCTCAATGAGCACCCTCCTATGGGTTACACAAGCCCCTGGAGGGAATCCCTCCTCTGCCAGGGCTCAGCTGCTCCAGGCAGGAAGTTGTGGGGCAGCCTGCAGGAACATTAAGCCTCTGGCTGGCTGGAACCTGGGTGTAGGCAGGCGGGCGGTAGGTGCACTGGCACCTATGTGACTTGATCTTGCAGCCATCCTGGTTGATACAGTGGGCCTCAACACAGGGCTGCCAGGCTGGCGGCAGGGTGGGCATCACGTGGCCAGGCAGAGGGTGCTGAAGGCTACAGTGAGAGCCTCCCTCGGAAAGCTGTTTTCTTGAGCCTTGAGCAGAGCCCCTGTGGGCCAGCATGTCCCCTCCCGCAGCAGCCAGGCTTACCAGGCACTCACTGTATCACCCCATGCACACCAGAGCTCATCTCACCGGGAAGGCTGGCCCCAAAGGGTGCCAGTGTGACAGGAGCCCCAAACTACCACCTGGGTGCCTTGGAAGTCCACGGTGGCCTGGGAAGTGCAGTATCAGTCAGGTCCTCCATTACTGAGCTGTCCTACATGCTACCAGGGAGACCAGGCAGGTGACAGCTCTGTGAGCCTCAGGCCTTGCAGACAACCCTGGAGTAGCAGCCCGCAGGGCAGAATGCCCCTACCCACACCCCACACTGAATCCCAGAAAAGGTGCCTAAAAGGTACCCAGGGTACCAAGGGTTCGTGTAGCACCCTGGGCTCTCTACCTGGAACACCATGAGGCAGGGTGGCATGAGAACCCAGCTTTTGCCAGGGGTAGGATCCACAGGCTCCTCAATAAGCTTGGCTCTTGTTTGAAAAACAGTTCTTTTCCAAAAAACTATGTCATTGTTTTAACACGCAATGGTTTGGTATGGCTTTTCCTAATGAATAAATATGTATCTTTAAAATATTTTGTTTTCTCTGCCAAGACTGGTGGCATACACCTGTAATCCTACCACTCTGGGACACTGAGGCAGGAGGACTGTCATTCTGAACCCAGCTCGAGCAATTTAGCAAGACCCAGACTCAAAATTTAAAAAAATAAAAAAAATAAAAAATGGACTGGGATGTAGCTCACTGTGAAAGCCCTGGGTTCAATCCCCAGTATAGTTAAACAAATAAGAAAACAAAATAAACAAATAAGTGTATGTCTTATTTTCACTTGAACTGAGTAGCTGTCAGGCACTAAGGTCACTGAGCAGAATGTGCTGTGGCCCTGCATGTGGCTACTTCCTCCAGGCCAGCTGTCCCCCAGCGCTGGGGCCCCTGTATCTGCTGCTCGTCTGCTAAACAAGCTTCTAAGTGGTCATGAGAAGGGCCGCTCCTCTGGGGAGGAAATGCTGCAGTGCCTGTCAGCTAGATGCCTGGCCTGGGCCTCCTGGAAGGTGCCACACCAGCCTGGACATTCTTCTCACAATGTCTCTGCCTGCTCCATGGCCACAAGTGCATCCAGGAGCAAAGAGGTGATTGAGTGGAAGCCTCTGGAGAGATCTCCCCAAAGTGGGCTCCACTGGACATGACACAAAGGACCCCAAAAGGAGCACGAAGATGCTGGGGGTAGGGGAGCCTCATGACGTCAAGGGCAGCAGCCAAGGCCCTGGCTACAACCTGCAGGGAGCCTTCTGTATAGCACGGTTTAGTATCTTGCTGCCACCCGAACCCCTGAACTCCTTAGTGGTAAGCACCATGAATTGTACAAAACCAGGTGTAAGCCTGCACTGGCTGCAGCCTTTCTGACCAGCACAAGCCACCTCTGTTTCACACTCTCAAGAAGGCACCGCTGCCTAGACAGGGAGGTCCAGGGCAGGCCCACAGCGTGCCCTAGCATGGCTGCCAACTCAAGACAAGGGCCCCATGCCCAGGAAAGTAGGTTGGGGAGTGACGGAAGATGGTGACCTGCCAGGGAGGTGCCCTGGCTCCCAGAAGAGGAGCCTTTCCAAGAGCGCCTGCCTGGCTGCACAGGCACACCCGTGGGAAGAAAGGTGCTAGAGGCACGACCACCACAGCTACGGCCTTTTCTCAGCTGGCGGGAGGTAGCCCTGGGCTCAGTCCATAGCACATCCCCTCCAGCAGTGGGTGCCCCTAGAGTGGAGGAGGCACAAACCTCACCCTGGCTTTTTTCGAGGTGGCCAGGCAGTGAGAGGGAGTGCACAGGCTGGGAACCTGTGTTCCTGCTGGCCCGGGAACACAGGACACTGAGGCCAGCCAAACTGCATGGCGCCAGGAGGTGGCCTACTCTGGCTGTGTCCCTGTCCTTCACCAGTCACACAGATGGTGGGGTAGGGGTGAAAGGTCTGACCATGTCCTGTTTTTTTCCTTTCTGTATTTTGAAATGTTGCTGATAGTTTACTTAAGAGAAAGGGGGAAGAAAAATGCTCCCTCAATGCCAGGGAAATGTTTCTCTTTCAGCTTCTCACAGCAGATCTTAGCCTTAAAAGGCGACATATGCTTGGCCTCTGCTGCAGGGCCAGGCGTGGACAGGGCCAGGCAGGGGACAGGGCAGGGCCCAACCCAGGCCCAGAGTGCCCGACACACAGCAAGCTCTGGGGAAGGCACCTGGGGTCCTCCAGTGCTGAAGTACAGGCATGGGCACACAGACGCCAAGGCTCTTGGGCCCAGTGGCAATGGCCTGGCACAGCATAGTCTCCAGGAGGAGCTCCACAGATTCCTTCGGACTTGGCCACTCCTTGCTCCCAGCACTTCTCTCATCTCTGGTATCAGGGCACAGTGTGTACAGAGTTCAAGCACCACTCTGTCGAAAAGCCTAGGCCAGCCTGTAATCCAACACTGGGCACATGGGACTAGCCTCACCAGCACTGTAGGACCTGCCCAAGTCCACATCCACAGGGCAGGTGCTCCCTGGGGCCTTGGGCCTGGCCCTCATCACCACCAGGCTGAACGCCTGCCATAGGTCCAGACCCACCTAGACAGCCCCACGAGCTAAGCCCAGTCTCCCTCAGGAGGGGCCACACTGCTTGGCAGGGCAGATTGCAGGGGGCACCAGGCTGCCAGGACAGCTGCTAACCCACCTCATGCTCTGTGAGCAACAGCAAAGCCACCTCTAGGAGCCAGGTGTCCCCTTGGTCCTTGGGTCTTGCTCTCAAGGTCTGCCTGGGGAGGCTGCTCTGTGAAGAGCCCTGTCATACACCATAAGTGGGGGAGGCTTCTAGACTGAGGCCAACCTCCATCTCTGATTCCCAGAGCCACCAGTCAGGCAGTACCTAGGAACCTGGCTCTTTCTGTAACACCATGGAATCTTTGGCTGGGCACTGGCATCTTGCTTCCTCCTGTGGGCACTGCTGCTTTGGAACAAACAAACAGGTGCACACCAGAGCCCATAAGCTCTTCCTCCAGATTCACTGGGACCTCATCACCCAGGGCCAGCCTGGGGTCCCTGGAACTCCCTGCACTGTGAGACAATCTTCATGCCACATGAAGGTTCTGTGGACCCTGTAGTCTCAGGGCCTTCTCTTGCACAGGGCAGGACCAAGGGGACATACAAGGCCCAGCCTCTGCTGGAGACAAAACAGTAAAACATTTCAAACCCCGGTTTCTTCCTTCCCAGGAGGGGCTCAGCTGGGCTACCAGCCCCATTAAGCCAGCCCAAATCCACCTGCCTAAGGCCTCTGCCCTTATGGCCACCCTTGGGGTCCCAGTTATGAAACAGGGTCTTTTACCCTAGGCCCAGAGGTCAGCCCAGCCTGTGGCCTCAGTGGCCTGGCTACCCCACCAGGCAGTGACCCATGGGCTCTTCTCTGTGCTCCCCACATGGCTCACTGCAATACCCAGAACAGAGAGAGGACAGGGACTGCACTAATGGGACTAGGACAGAGGTGCCAGGCCTCAGCTCGCTCACAGGGCATCTGCAACCTCCAGGGAGGGAGGGAGTCCCTAACTCAAGCCTCTGCTTGACAGGTGGGCTGAGCCTGGGCTCTGCAGGGCAGCTGCCACCTGTGTCAGATGACCAGGCCCTACCATAATCACCTTTGCCCTGCTTCCACCACACCCGTCTGGCTGTACACCTCATCCCCCTGCTCTTGACACCTTCACTGCCACAGCGGATGGACATATACTCCATCAGGGACTCTGCCTGGCAAACCTGACCCAGGCCTCTAAGACCCGTCCAAAGCTACACCCCACTCCAGCCACACTTTGAGAGGCTGTGCCCATTGGCCTCGCTGGCATCAGGTGCAAGTTGATCCTTGCCACTGCAGGGGTGCCCTGCCTGACATACCCAGTGGCCAAGGAACAATGGAAGCTTGCAGATTTTAAAAACAGAAAAAATCTGTGGCATCTGTAAGGGGCCTTGGGTTCCCAGGCACCAAGAAGGGGCAGCTGTCCTCAGCAGGGTGGTGTGCATGCTGAGGCAGAAGCAGGACCTGGAGGAGGCTGAAGCCTACGGATGGCAGGGAGTGGTTCCAGGAGGCCCTGCGTGGAACACAGTACCCCAAGAGAGGAGTGGTCAGGGTAACGTGTGGGAGGAGGGGTGAACCAAAGAGCTCAGAGACACAGGTCCTGAAGCGCAGGCCTGACAAATTGAGGTCTGGGCAGCATGTTAGGGAAGTGAAGAGGAAGGTATGGTGGAGCATATTTCTCAGCCAGGGTGACTGTGGGCACTGCTTAGCCCCTGAGCCCAAGCTGAGGTTCACAGCACCTCTTTCCCACCACTGGCCTGGCAGCGCCTCCTGTGAGGACAGGGCATGGGCTCAGCAGGGCACTGCTCTCTGGCTGAACACTCGCTGTCTTCCAAACACTACTCAACAAGGACAGCAGAGTGGACATACCGGGGCGGGCGGGGGGCTCGTTCCACTCCCAGTCCAGCAAATGCAACTGAGGCCCGAGTCTCCATGCAGCCTAAACTGCATTTCTAACATGGGCAGTCCCTGCCTGGACTGCATCCTCACCGCATCGCTCATCCCACCCCTCGGCACCCCTGCACAGTGTAGGCTCAGCTGCCCCCACACTGTGGAGAAGGGATGTGTGTGCTCATCCTAACTGTGGTCCCACAGACCAGGTGCACTTTCACCAGTTTTGAGTCCCCAACACACAGGAGATGCTAGAAAAAGCCCAGGTGATGGAAAAAGGGACAACAGCTCAGAGCCAAAGGCCCAAGCACGCTAAGTGCCCCTGCGGCCCCTCAGGGCCACAGCCCTTCCTCTTCAGCTGCTCCTCTTTAAGATCCAGCTACAGTACCCATCCAGAGAGACCTCCCTCCCCCAGGATGTGCCTGTAGGTTGATGCCATCTTTACCCACCGAACGTATACAGACACACATGTGCACACCCTCACAAGCCACGGATGTCAGCACTGTCCCAGATGAGAGCTGGGGATGCCACCTGCCCACCCACACTTTCCCAAAGTCTCATACCTTTGCACCAGGCCAGGCAGGCTGGCTCTCTGGTCTCCACCTGGACCCTGTCTGAAGCCCACCCCACCTCATGCTGTGGGCAGCAAGCCCAGAGAGAAAAAGAGGGAGCCAGAGGTGCCGTGAGATGGCTGGGCACACAGGAGTAGGTGCCCCTGGATCCCTGGCCAAGTCTCAAGGCGTGGGGTCACAGGCTGGGCTCACTACAGCCTCACCGAGAGCCCTGTTCTGGGGCTGCGGTGAAAGGACAGTCAGAAAAGCAAGGACAAACACTTGGGCTGTGAGACACCCTGAGATGACAGGCAGATTCCTGTGCTGAAGGGAAGGGCTGACTCCCAGAACACACATGCTAAGTGAGCCTGCCAGGATGCCTTCCCTCATAGCTCCAGGGCCCAGAAGTCAAAGGCCTATCCAGAACTCATGCATCTACTCATACATGCCACATACACCAGCACACTCACACACTAACGCACACACACACCCATACACACCAGCACACCCACATCCTAACACCATGTACAGACAGCACACACACATGACCAGGTGACACACACCAATGTGTGTGTATACAGGTGTGTATATATACACCAGGCTGGGGGCACCATGTGGATCAGAAAAACAGGCCAGAAAGCTGTCAGAAACAGCATTTTGGCAACTGGTTCCCCCAGTGGTCAGCTGGCACCAGGTATCTGAGGGCACCCCACATTACCTCTCTGGACAAGGATACCTGATGACAGCTCCAGGCCACTGCTACCTCAGAGAACCAAAGACCCTGCCTGCTGGTGGTGAAGGGCCTCAGAGGGCCAGGCAGGACCCTATGCTGGTGAGACACGGTAAGGCCAAAAGACTGTGCCAGCCACTGGTGAGACTCTGGGTTGCCGCCCCCCTGGTGTTCAGAACAAGCTTCTCTTCCATGGCAACAGGAAGTGCAGGCCGTCAAGGAGAACCTCAGTAGGCAAACAAAGTTCTAGACCAGCTCTGGCTTCTCCTGGGCACTGCACAGAGCCACTGATTTGAGGCCTGGGGCAGGCTGCATCAGACATCTAGCCCAGAGGTGGCCCACCCACTCACCTATAGCTGACCAGTGCTGCCTTCCCTGGAGGCAGCCAGAGCCACAGCCTGCCCTACAGCTCGTCCTGACTGCCCTCTTGGGGCAGGATATTACCTGAGTACTTTGCTGACTGCCTGAAGCACCATTTTGCAGCAGAATCCAGTTTTGGGGGGCTGGCCCAGCAGAGCTCTGTCTGTGGGGAGACCACAGTGATCCCCAAGCATGATGGGAGAGACTGCTGAGCTGCTGGTGAGCAGGGGCCAGGCCAGGCCGGCTGCTCGGTTCCGTCCCTGGCTCCCTCCCTCGGAAGTGCCCTCCGCCCTCGATCTGGGCCAATGAGGACGCCTGCAGAGAAAAACAGCTGCTCCCTCCACAGAACAGGGCTGACCGAGCTGGCCAGACTCAGGAGTGGCTGAATTGCCTTTTCAGAGCCGTGCAGAGCTGGCTGGGCGGGGCTGGGCTGAGCAGGGCCAGGGGGAGGGATCTGGGAAGGGCCTGTCAGAGAAGCCCTGGGTCACACTCTGACGGTACCGGTACCGATAGCAGCCCTGGCTCCATCCCAGCCGAGGATACCAGGAGGCAAGCTGGGCCCAGCGAACACCCTCAAGCCAGGACAGACAGGCAGAGTGGACTCAGGCTCTTTCTCCAGGTGGGTCTTGACTGGCTCCTGGGGCACTGGGAAGGTACTATGCTTGTCCTGGGCAGGACTGCCAGCTGGGACCACTGCCACCAAGGGCCAGTGCCCAATGGAGACATCAGAAACACTTCTTCATGAGGGCTTGAGAAGGTGTGTGGCCAACGCCTGCCTCATGGCTGCTCTGCACCCTGCTGATCACCAAGTCCAGAAGATCAAACTCCTGGAAGGGGACACTCCCACCCTGCATGGGTCTGGACCCACGGCAGCTGCAGCGTGTCCAAGGTATTGGCAGGTGCTCCATCAAACAGCCACCATGGCCCATTTGGAACAATGTCCAGTCTTCCTGCCACCTAGAGAGCTGGCCCTTCCTTCAGACTCACAAAGTCCTCCGCACAAAGCAACAGGTGGGCAGAATGAGAGGAAGAGGGCAGATGAATGTCTCAGAAGCACCCACACACACGAGTTCCAGTCTGGCTTAAATCTGCACACATGGAGGCAAGGCTTGGTTTTCCCTCCTGTCCTTTTTCCATCCTAGATATCATTCAGGATCCCACTGATCATGTGGCCTTGGGGTTCCTCTTGGCTGTGACAGTTTCTTGCCCTCCAGGATTGGACACCTGGGTGGTTCCGAGGTGGCACTGTGGGGTCCCTGAGATGGGATCTGACTGGTGTTTTTCTTAGGGTCAGACTAGGGCTGTGGTCTGGGAGGAAGACCAGAGGCAAAGTGCCTCCACATCATCCCCCATCAAGGAGCTCATCTGGGTGATGTGCCCACTCTCCCAGCTGGATGTGTCAGGTCACCAGCATACAGTGACTCCCTCCCTTCTTGGGAGTGAAGTCATACTATGCACAGTCATGTGCAAGGGGTAGAGAGTTCTTCCTCACCAGCTTAAGGATACAGCATTTAAATGATTTACTTGGAATTTTCTTCCATTAACTGACTGATTCTTTCACTTACATTACTGTGGAATCACAGGTATTTATGTCACACTTTGAGTTGAAATGAAATACTACTTTACTCTGCTAATCTGACTGGTTGGCCCTGGTCCCTGGGGTGCCCCATTGCTACATGGTTATCTCTGGGCACTTCCACACAAGAAGCCTGAAGTTCATCTGGAGCACTCCCTGACCCAGCGGAGGACTCAGCTATTTCTTTGAGGAATCCTGGTTCATTTCCTAGAGAGTATTAAAAACAGGGATCTGGGTGCTGAGCGGGCAGCTGCTCCCAGGTCCTCTCAGCTGCAGAGCACAGTCATGCGTGCACACATGGATACACACTTAACCTCTGCCCTTGCCTGTGTGCAGAGCCCTCTAGGGAAGGAGCCCCTTCCTAGGTACCTGCTGTGGCTCCTCACACAGATGCAGGGAGCTTGGCTGCTTAGCAGTGCATAGGAAGTGTTCTGGTGGAGTCCGATGAACATGAAGACAACAAAGAGGACAGTGACACCTCGTGATGATTAAAACACCCTGGAGAAACACATGCACAAAACAGCAACTGCAACCCAATACAGTAGAATTAGGAAATCACAGAAACAGTGACTTGAACTCAAAATAAGAATCAGAAATGAGGAGGTAAGCCAGGAAATGAAGTTTGAACTTTAGAAAGGACACAAAACCAATACTTACAAAAGTGGAAAATGGAAAGTAAAGATTTTCTAAAGAACAAGGAATGATGGATACTGGCCTTGACCTCTACCACTGCCAAGGACAACACTGGGAACATGGCTGCCTCAGAGGAGGACGCAGCACAGGATAGGGCAGAGGGCTCCAAACCTGGTGCTGTTGGGCTGCTGGGATTTGCAGGGTGGGACAATTCACACAATGTCACTACAGAGAAGGGCTGCAGCCACATCTGTGAGTAGATGAGACTGTGCAGGGCGAGCAGCCATGAGGCTAGGGGAAAATAACTGCAGGGAGCATGAACTGCAGGGAGATTCCAGAGGGAACAGGGGTCAGGGACAGAAAAGGGTAATACCCAGCCTGGAAACAAGGGGGCCCGCCATGGCAGCCCGGAGCAGGGACTCCTCTAGATCTGCCCTAAAGAAGCTCAGAAACAAGTCCCAAGAGGGTCTATGGACCCGCAGCAGGCATGACACTTCCAGAGAGGACTATGAGCTGAGACTGAGTGGCGGTGGCACTGTAATATATACCACATGGAACTCAATGCATGGGCTAAGAGGCAAAAAAATGCAACCTGTAACCAGGAGACAAACACCAACACAAACAGGTACAGAAATACAAAGAAAGGAAAAAGGAAATCTTTTTTAAAAAGGGTCTAGCTCAGTGGTCTAGTACCTGCCTAGCTTGTGAGAGACCCTGGGTTCAAACCGCAGTACCAAAAACAAACAAAAAAGAACACATAAATACACAAATCACTGTGTCATACTGCTGTGAGCGATACCAAAGCAGGAGTCCCGAAAGGGTGGTGAGGAAAAGCATCTTGGGGCAGTGACACTGAGGAAAACTGGGTGAGTGCAGCCAGCTAAGCAAGGTGGAGAAAGGCATGTGGACAGAAAGCCCAGCCAGCTGGAGGAGCGGGGAGGCACCATGACTGGAAGGCTCTGGGTGGGGACAGGTTGGGGAGCCATCCAAAGTTGCATGCACTATGCTGGTATGATCCACTGATGCTCCTCAGGGATCACCCTCTGGCTGTGCTGTGAGCTGGTTGGGTGGGTGCATGCACAGAAGCACCAAACCCTGAGGTAGCATAGCAGAGGGCAACGAGACTGCCCTTGAGACCACTATGTACCCATACTGGGCCACTATGTGTCATGACTATGTTCCTTGGCTCACAGTTTGGAGGTGCAAGGGTCTGCTCTGGTAACCTGCCTTCTCTGTTGCCAGAGTGCCGGACATGCAGGATGTCATGTGGTAGGAGACAACGAGCTGTGCACAGCTGTCTGGCTTCTCCCACTCTTCTTTAGCCATGAGGACTCAAACATGAGTTTGAGTCCTCATGGCTTTAATCCTAATCCTAATCACCTCAAACACCCTCATGACTTTAATCCTAATCACTTCCCAAGAGCCCCACTTCTAAGCACAAGAGCCAGATTAAGCTTTTATCCTCTTAATGCCTCACAGTGGGTATTATGTTCAATGCAGAATGCCTGGGGGACACATGCACCACAGCCACACCTGCCAGAATGGCCACATCAGATGCCTCACCAAATGCTGATAGGGACCTGGACAGCTGACCCTCTCCTTGGTTGCTGGAAGGGGTGCCAATAGCACAGCCACTCCAACAAATAGTCTGGTGGCAGCCTGGAAGGCTAGGTCCACCATTCCACGGCCTTGGCCACCTGTGTTCTGGGAACATGATCCAGAGAAATGAAACTGACATCCACCAAAGCCTGGGTGCCAACGTACAGTACGACTCCATCATGATGCCCTGCACCAAATGGGTGGTGAATGTGCAGCTACAACAGCTGGCCTAGTGGAGTACTACACAGCAGTGAAAGGAAACATATACTGACAGAACAACTTGGACAACTTGCAAAGACACCATACTGACTGAAAGAAGCCAGCTCAGAAGGCCACAAAGCTATGACCACATGTATGAGACATCTTTGGAAGCATAAAGCTTAGTGAAAGGGACAGATCTGAGGTTATCAGCAGTGAGTGGTGAGGGGAAAGGTGACTGACCACACATGCTTGGTATCTGGTGGTGGTGGCTACAGAAAAGCTCCTTCTCAAAAAAGTACACTTTATTATATGGTCACTTTAAAAGTTACACAGAAATTAAATCCTAAATAAAACAAAAGATGCTGGAAGCAACAAAAACTTCAAAAGCAATGAATAGGCTGGGCGTGGTGGCACACACCTGTAATCCAGCACTCAGGAGGCTGAGGCAGGAGGATCCCTGTGAATTCACGACCAGCCCGGGCTACAAAGGTCAGCCTGAACTGCATAGCAAGACCCTGTCTCAAAAAGACAAAGGAAAAAAAAAAAGCAATGAAATAAATACATCTAAAGATTTGGAGGAAAGTATGGATACAATGAGGAAAAAGATCAGGGCTCTCACTGGGCATGGTGGTGGCACATGCCTGTAATCCCAGCACTCGGGAGGCTGAGGCAGGATGATCGCTGCAAGTCTGAGACCAGCCTGGGCTACCAAGTGAGCTCGAGACCAGCCTGAACTGCATAGAGAGACTCTGTCTCAAAAAGACAAAAAAAAAAAGGATCAGGGCTCTCAAAAAAGATAAAGGAACTCCAAAAAAGAATAAAAAAAAAAAATTCTAGAACTAAAAGAGAAAAATCTGAAATGAAATCTTATGGGAGAGGATTAACAGTATATTAAATAATGCTAAGAAAATATTAAAATAAAAATATTCTTACTAAAATTTATAGACTGAAACTAAAGCAGAAATTAGAAATTTCTAATTATAAATGTTTATACTTGAGAAGACTTAAAATCAATGATCTCTACACATTTACCTTAAGAAGTCAAGAAAACATGAGAGGAAATAACAAATCAATGAAATTAAAATGAAGAATAATGAAGAATTAATTCAAAGGTTGGCCCTCAAAGTGTCAAGAAAACATACATTTCACAGCTAATGACAAAAGAGAAGAAAAGGCGCTTGGGGGAGATATAAATTCCAAAAATTGGATATGAAATAGAAAATTACAAATCCTCCAGACATTTAAAGGATAACAAGACAGGTTCTTTCACAAACAGAAGTTATCAAAACTGACATAG